TTCTTCTTCTTCTTCTTCTTCTTCTTCTTCTTCTTCTTCTTCTTCTTCTTCTTCTTCTTCTTCTTCTTCTTCTTCTTCTTCTTCCTCCTCCTCCTCCTCCTCCTCCCCCTCCTCCTCCTCCTCCAAAGCACCCTGTCCAGAAGAAGAAGAAGGGCTGGTAGCTTCTGCAGGTAAAGCCCCATTTGATGGGCAAGGAGCTGCTCCCACTTCAGCTGCGCTCCCCTCTCTTCCCTCCAGGTCTTGGGGAGCTCTTTTCTGTCCCAGACCTCAGCCGCCTTGCCGAAGGGCCCCTCACGGTCTCCAGCATCAAGCACCGGGCCGCCCTGGAGCTGTCCGAGGAGGGAGTGAAGGCGGCAGCGGCCACCAGCGTAGTGGGCGTCCGCTCTGCCTCAGTTTTCTCCCTCGACCGGCCCTTCATCTTCATGATCACAGAGGACGTGACGAGCATCCCGCTCTTCATGGGCACCATCCGGAATCCCCGGCCGGGGGCCCCCGTGGAGAAGCATGTCCTGCCTGCTAATCGCACACATCACTTACAGATGCCCTGAAGAGCCTCAGAGCTGCCTCCCCAGTCCCAGGCAGTCTGGCCTTCCAGAAGACCCCTCCCAGTGGCTGCCCACCCAAGCGCATCACCCTCCCGGCTGGCATCTCAGGGCGGGGGTGGATCCCATCCCAATCTTGAAAGGGAGAGTGGGGCCCTTCCTTGGCCACTAGCGGGTCCTGGATGTGGATCCTGCACCTCAGCTTGCTGGACGCCTGGGCTCCCCTAGGCTCCCCATCCCTCCACTGGCCTGGCCTGGCCCCGCATTGATTTCCCTTGGCCCCCCCCTCGCTAGTTTCCTTGGCACCAGGCTGGAGGGATGCCTCCCCCTCCCCTTTAGTCAGACTGAACCCCTCTGTCCAAGAAGCCCCTCCTCAGTCCAAGCTGCACAGGCCTAACCCCCTCCCTTCAAAAGACCCCCCCCACTGCCGCCTGTCATTGTTTCAGGGGCCCCTGCCTCAAAAAGGATAGAATGGCAATAATGGCACAACAACCCTGTGAGGTTGGAATGCGGACTAATTAACCAGCTGTCCGGAGAGCCTCCGAGGTCGTAATCCAATTCAAAATTCTCCTTCATGCTTGTGGAAACATAGAGTGGATAAGATGCGCAACGGCACAGCTAAAGCCGAAACAAAGAGAGGATTGTTTTGAGCACTGAGAATTGGAAGGAAAATAATGCAAAATAAAACTGCAAATGTTGCAATGCCTTCGTCTCCTTTGTGTCCGGCAGCAGAGCTACGTAGCCTCCTCGGACAAGAGGGGGGCTCTCCCATCAAGAGAGGGGGGATGGAGGTAGCCCTCAACTTAAACAATTGAGCCCCAAATTTCCACTGCTAAGTGAGACAGTTGTTAAGTGGGTTTTCCCCTCTTTTACGACCTTTCTTGTCACAATTGTTAAGTGAATCACTGCGGTTGTTAAGCTGCTCACGCAGTTTTTATGTGAATCTGGCTTCCCCATTGACTCTTTTGGCAGGTCACAAAAGGGGATCGCAAGACTCTTGGACACTGTGACCGTCACACATACGAGTCGGTTGCCCAACGTCTGAATTTTGATCCCGTGACCAGGGAGGTGCTGCAACCATTGTGTGAAGAACGCTCATTAGTCACTGTTCTCAGCGCCATTGCAACCTTGAATGGTCACTAAACAAACGGTTGTAAATCAAGGACTACCTGGAGCCAGCAGCAAGGGGCGATGGAGAGAGGATCCGGTCTCCACGGGGCATGAAGGCCAGAACCCCCAAATGACAGGGGACAGAGTTGGACGGGGCCTGCAGTCTATAGAAGCTCCTCTTGGAGCATCCGGGGGTGACTGTGGCTGCTGGTCCTTACCCTCCATCCTCCCTGGATGGCATCCAGCATCCAGACCAGGTTCAGCAACGTTGGCAACTTTAAGCCTTCCAGACTCCCAGAATCCCCCAGCCAGCTGTGCTCTAGAACAAGGTGCTGGGAGTGATAGTCCTTTGGCCCAGTCCAGAACGCTTCTTTTCCACAGTGGGGAAGGCAGCCACGTTCAACACCCACCCTGCCCCCCTCCTTCTTGGGGACAATTGAAACGCGGAGCTCTGGACAGGGCTGGGGGCTCTGGTCGTTAAGTGAATCCAGTTTCTTCCCCATTGACTTTGCTTGTCGGAAGGTGGCAAAAGGGGATCAGGTGACCCTAGGACGCTGTGACGGTCGTAAATATGAATCGGTTGTCAAGCATCCAAATATAAATCATGGGAACATGGGAAAGCTGCAATGGTCGTAAGTGTGAAAAACAGCCCTGCACCTTTTTCAATCCCGTTGCAAGTCGGGGACTGCCTGTAATTCTGCTCGTCCCTTGCGAGAGGCAGCGTTTCTGCCCCTGATCTCCCCGCAGGACTGCCCTTCTCCAAGAGGCCAACCTGGATGCTGTTTCCCATGGGGAAATAGATGCATCTGCTGCCCCCCCATCCTGAGCCCCCCATAGGGCCAAGGGGCTCCCCCTGGTGGACGGGGACAAACGTGCCGGGGGTCCAGCTCTGTCGTTCCCTCCAGAGGCAACCAGGCGCCCCCAGGAAGGTTTTATGCCAGGGAGCCCCGAGGCCGCCTCATCCTGCAGCAGGAGACGGAGAACCAAGGCGGACTCTGCTCTTGGGGGCCCCTAAGCGGTTGGCATTCGCCTCACCCCTCCTGTGGTGGCACCTCTTGCGCCCATGCCCAGGATTAGTGATCTGACGTTGGCCTGCGCTGGACTGGGTCTCCCAGGCCGAAAGCCTGTCCGGGGCTGCTCCGGGGGACCCCAGCTCTGAAGGGAGAAACTCCAGCAAAATTCCTCCCTCCCTTCTTGAGGGAGGGCTCCAGGCTCTGCTCCAACAGAGGACGCTTGGCTATTTTTAGCGCAGGCCGCTTTTTTCCTTCCTTTGTCAGCTCAGGTGGGGACTACTTCAGTAACCAGGTTTACCGTTTTGTAAACCCAACCCTGACTGAAACGGCCCAAGACCTATTCATGCCTCCAACTTTCTTAACCTGGCCACTTTCCCACTGAAAATATTTGGACAGCGTAGCAACGCCAGGGAAGAGTGTTGCGCGATCTGCTCTCTAGCACCCCCCCCCCACCAGACTCTGACCAGCCCTCCTCGCTGGGCTCAGGCAGGCGGAGGGCCGGCTCGGAAAGAGGAGGCGGCTGCTTTAAGAGGAACCCCGCAAAGCTGTAACTTGAAGCCTGTTGCCCTCCCTGTGCCTGTTATAAACACCAGACTCCCCTGCCCTGCGCCTACACCACCCTGTGGCCGGCTGGAGAGCGAGCGAGCGAGGTAAGGAGCGATTCTGCCTCCCTCGGGCGGGAGTCCACGCGTGTGCATGTAAGTGGGAGAGGCAGAGAGCTTGCACAAAGGAAACCTGTGTGTGCCCGCTCCCTTGAAGCCATCACAGTCTGTGGTCCTCAAAGCCAGGCTGGTGGGCAGCCAGGCCATCTCTGCCACGTGCCCGGGCAAACCCTCTTCTGCTCTGCTGGCATACTGGGCCAGGGGCGGGTGCCTCCGCTCTGCACCAAGCAGCCCATCTGGGGGAAGAGACTGGCTGTCTAACCTCTCTGCCCCCCTTGGCCGTTTTCGCCCTGGCTGAGCTCTTCAGGGTCCCATTTGTTTTTATCAGAACAAGACTTAAAAGGGACCTCCGAGGTCTTCTAGTCCAACCCCCTGCTAAGGCAGGAGACCTGATTCCATTTCAGATTAAGTGGCTGTCCAATCTCACCCACAACCTCTGGAGGAAAGTCATTCCACTGATTAAATTGTTCTGTGAGGAAATTCCTCCTTAGTTCCAGGTTGCTTCTCTCCTCAATTAGTTTCCATCCGTTGCTTCTTGTCCTGCCCTCAGGTGCTCTGGAGAATAGGGTGTCCCTCTCTCCTTTGTGGCAGACCTTCAAATATTTTTGGGGACCCTCAAATCCCCCCCCCCCACAGCCGAGGCTTTCTCCCCAAAAGAGGCAATGTGGAGGACCAGCCAAGGCTCGCTCGCTTTCCTTGGGCTGCCTCCTGGCGTCCAGATCTGGGCTAATTGAACCCAGATGTTGAGGCTCACTCAAACCCAGCGGGACTCCAAGGAAAAATCTGGAAACTCTGGCCTGGTGATGGCAACCAGGACCAGACCAGGATTCCAAGCCTGCCTTGCCTGCCCCGGGCGAAGCCTCTATGGAGCAGCCAGGTCTGCCACAAGGGTGTATTCTGGGCCTGGGCTCTGTTCTGCAGGATTTCGAGGTAGCTTCTCCTGTTGTTGGTGGCACCAGAGTTCCTTGGAAACTTGTGCGGATCGGCTGCCCCAGGACGCTCCCCTGTAATTGCAGGCTTCTGGAGAGCTAACTGCTACTTCCACGCAGCTCTGGTGGCGCCAGCTTGGAGGGCCAGGCCCTGGCTGAGGTTAGGCCTGGTCCCAGTTCACCCTCCACAAAAGGCAGCCAGATGTTAGCCAGAAACCGAACCACCAGCCGGCCCCCTCCCATCCAGAAAAGCCTGACAGGAAACGGGTGTGGGGGGGCGTTCTTGAGTGTGCCTCCCCCAACACTGCCTGGCCTGGGAAACAGCCCGGAAGCCAGAGAGAAGCTAGGCCCGCTTGCCTACAGCTGCGGGAAAAGGGAGGCAGGGCTTCAAGGGAAGGCTCCCACCTTCCAAGGCAATTCTTACTCAGAACTCCAGTCTAGCCCCCCCCCCCGCCTCCCCAATTAACAAATTTAAGTGCTCCTCTAAGAAAAGCACTCTGCAAACTCTTTGTTCCCATGCATGGCTGCTGTGCAAGGAGTAGCGTGTCAGGTCCAGAGAGTTCAGTATAGAGAAATCGCCCAGCCCCAGGGGTCAGGAGGCCGGTTAGGGGCAGGCAAAGCAGAGGACTTTAAGAGGAACCGTTTGGAACTAAAGTAAAGGCATCTGCTGTGTTCAGACCCGAAGGTGAGCAGAGATGTGGCAATTCATCTCCCGGCTTCCAGAAAAGCTAGTGAGACTAAAAACTGAATTCTGAAATTGCCCCCTTGATTTATTTTGTTATTTGATGCTTACAGGGAGAGAAGCACTCCAGGCAGCCTACAGAAACAGCATAAAGGCCATTAACAAACGTAAAGCACAAATAAGATTAAACAGTGCTATAAAATGTTGGAGTTGGCCTGCTGAATCACTGAAACAAAACTGAATATCGTTCCATTAGAAACGAATAAATTTAAATATTTATTTAAAACTTAACGGCATTAAAACGAAACAGGTAAACCAGAGCAGAAAGTCTTTGAGGCCCACTTGAAAAAGACCCTTCAAAGATGAAGCTTCTCTTTCTCTCTCTCTCTTTCTCTCTCTGGGACTTCCTAAGAACCGAGAGCCTCCCTCAGGCACACTCGCTCTGTGAGGGAGATGGGCACTTTCCCAATTGGACAAATGGAAAGAAACTCTCCATAGAAAATTACTATAGGCATGATACGCCCGCCATGTCCGTTTCTGGTTGGCTTAGGTTTTATTCCCCTTGAAGACATTTCGCTTCTCATCCAAGAAGCTGAGGAAGAACCGAAGATGCTTCTTGGGTGAGAAGGGAAAGGTTTTCAAGGGGAATAAAGACCAAGAAAATCCGGTGGCCTTTTGGGGGGAAAAGCGCCTTTGGGACAAGGTGCTGAGATTCTCCAGAGACAGAGTCAGACCTGAGCCGTTGCACTCCTCTGTTCATTTACTTAGACAATTTCCTGGCCACCCATCTCACCTCAGGATAACTCTCTGTCCCTCCTCCTCCTCCCCCCCCCGCAGGTTCCACCATGAAGCACCTGATGGTCCTCCTGGGGCTGGTGGCCCTGGCCGTCCCCTGCCGGAGCCACGACGGGAACCCAGCAAACACCCCCCAGGTCAGCCAGGGGTCTCCCGGATGGCCGAGTGTGGCTCTGGGCTCGGAGTGGCAAGGAAGCAGAGGCTGGGGACAGGCCGGACGGCCTTGGGGGATTCCCCCTTGCCATTCCACCCAGGGGGTGGGCTAACCTGCAGCCCGTGCAGGGGGTCCTCGCTTCACAGGGTGGTGGGCTGCAGTAGAAAGACCCCCAGGGCTGCGGTGATGGGCCCCCTCTTTGGTGTTTCGAAGGAGCCGGACCCCGCAAGGGAAGCTGGGGAGGAGGAGGAGGACCCCTTTTACAAGAACCCCGTCAACAAACTGGCCGCTGCCGTTTCCAACTTCGGCTACGCCCTCTTCCGTCAGCAGTCCAGCCAGACCCCCTCGGCCAATGTCCTGCTCTCCCCCTTCAGTGTCGCCACGGCGCTCTCGGGCCTCTCACTGGGTGAGCTCCCCTCCGATCCCACCCGGGGCCAGGATCGTCTGGGAAGGGACCTTGACAGGCTCCCTCTCTCTCTCTCCGTGGCCGGCAGGGGCGGGTGAGCGGAGGGAGGATGTGATCTCACGAGCGCTTTTCTACGACACGCTCGACAAGGCCCACCTGCACAGCACCTACAAGGAGCTCCTGAGCAGCATCGGTAGCCCCACCAAAGGCCTGAAGAGCGCCTCCCGCCTGGTGATGGAGAGACGTAGGCCTCCTTCGCCTTGGGGGAGGAGGAGCCGGGGGGGCTCTCAGTCCCAGGCGAGGGACAGCCCCCCCAGGGCTCAACGGGGCCTTCTCCTCCCCCCCAGAGCTGAGGATGAGAATCACGTTTGTGAATGAGCTGGAGAAATCCTACGGCTTCCGGCCCCGGGTGCTCAGCGGAAACGCCCGGGCGGACCTGCAGGAGATCAACCAGTGGGTGCAGCAGCGGACGGGGGGGAAAATTGTCCGATTCCTGGGGGAGATCCCGGCCGAGCTCAGCATCCTGCTCCTGGGGGCTGCCTCTTTCAAAGGTAGGTCTGCCCACCCGCCCGCCCAGGGAACGGGAAGCCGGGCTCCTCCTCCGAAGGGAGGGCGCCCTCCACTCGGCCTTTCCTTCCCCTATGGCCACAGGGCAGTGGGCCACCAAGTTTGACCCCAAGCTGACCAAGCCTCAGGACTTCCACCTGGATGAAGACCGGACCACCCGGGTGCCCATGATGTCGGCCCCCAGAGCCATCTTGAAGTACGGCTTTGACTCTGAGCTCAGCTGCAAGGTCAGTGGTCAGGAGGGGGGTGGGCCAAGACTGGGGAAACACAGCTGCCTTGCGGCCGCACTGCCCTCTTCCCCCCCCCCCAGCAGCTCTGGAACAACACGTTGCTCCTCTTGGCTGCCTTTCCAGAAGCCGTCCCCTACCTTACAGCCCCATTTGGGGCAGCCACACGCCCTGATGGCACCTGAGCTGGAGCACCCCCTGCAGCGCAGCCCCTCCCTCACCAGGGGTCCTGCCCATGCATAGGCCAGCCCACCTGCCACTGGGGGAGGCGTGCGGGTGGGGGCAGCAGCTCCCTTCCCACAACCGAGCGGGAATGCCGAACTGGCCCCTCAGCCCACTCTGCCTTCCCCGGCTGTTGCTGCAGATCGCCCAGCTGCCCCTGGCTGGAGGGGTCAGCCTCATGTTCTTCCTGCCCGAGAGCGTCACCCAGAACCTGACCCTCATCGAGGACAGCCTGACCGCTGAGTTTGTCCGCGACATCGACAAGCAGCTGAAGACCGTCCAGGCCGCGCTGAGGCTGCCACGGCTGAGGCTGGTGGCCGAGACGAGGCTGGGGGAGGCGCTGCAGGCAATGCGTAGGTGCTGGGCCGGGGTCCTTGGGCCAAGGGACTGAGTGGGCCGGTGCTCCTGTTGCCGAGGCTTCCTCGGTGGGTCTGGCCAGGGGCCGGCCCTTTCACAGGGCCAGGGCGGTCCCAAACGGCTGCTCGCCCGAACAGGAGCCACTGCAATGGGTGAGAGCCATTTGTCCCGGGGGGGGGGGCGAGCAGAGGCTCCCTCCTCGTGGTGGTTAGCGGCTGGAAGGTCACTCGGCCTCCAGGCCTCAGGGGAGGAGGCAGCCGGGTAGTAACGCCCCTTCCTCCCTCACAGGGCTCCAGGCGCTCTTCTCCACACCGAACCTCAGCAAAATTTCCGCCAAGCCCATCAGGCTCTCCCACGTGTATCACAAGGTGGCCTTTGACCTCGGGGAAGACGGGGCCAGCCCCGTGTTTGGCTCGGAGACAGAGGCCGCTCGGCTGAACTTCCCCATCGACTACACGCTGGACAAGCCCTTTCTGTTTGTGCTTTATGACAACGACAGTGGCACCCTCCTCTTCATCGGAAAGATCCTCGACCCTCAGCAGGCCTAAAGCGCTCCAAGACCCCCAAGCCGCAGGAGCAAAACAGGGGGGGGCCTCCTTGACTGTGTCCCGCAGCTGGTTTTGCTTACGTGGTCCAATAAAAGAGCTTCTGCCTTAAAGAGTTTCCCAAGTGGCTTTTTCAACTTCAACGGCTGGTGGATGGTGGAGAAACGGTGTGGGGGGGGGAGTTGTGGGGAGGAAAGCAGGGAGAGAGGGAAGGCTCTTCCCGTCACCCGTCAAGGCCCCCTCAGCCAAGTCGACAAATGCAGCAGCCTGTTTCCCTCCCAGGCAACGATGCCCTTGGGCTGGCACGGACCCAGGCCTGGCATCCTGGCAAGGCTGCATGGGTGGCGAGGCCGTTGGATCCCCCGCCAGGCCCATCTGCATATGGTCTGGTGATTTCTTGCTTTGGCTCCTTAATGGGCGGGGGTTTGTGTGTGCGTGCCGAGCCCCTTCCGCACAGCAGGCCGACTGGCGTATCTGCTCACAGCAGCTGGGCGGCTGTTGCGGGTGCGGTTCGGAGCAGCTCCTCCTCCAGGCAGACCCTCATGTCTCTCAGCTCCTGCAGCTGGCTGCTCTCTGGGCCCAGGTGCACCCACAAAACCGCCTCGGCCCTCTGGACGGCCTGCAGGGCTTCGGAGGCCAAGCGCCTGGCGGCCCCGGAGGCAAACAGGAAGAAGTTAGCAGGAGAACAGGGTTGGCAAGCGAAAGCCCTGGAGGCCCCCCCCCGCCCCGATGGACCCACAGGGCAGGCCCACAGCACCAGGCCTCTCGAGGGGGGCTGGTGGCCCTGGGCTAGGCTGGGAAACCGGAAGGCCCAGGCGCAAGGACACAATCACGGGACTGCCAAGTTCACCTTTGCGCACTTCGCAACGTAAACTCTTTCCTGCCACAATCTGGAGCCCCATTTCCCGGGAAGGGAAGAGCCCGCCAGCTCAGCCCTGGGAGGCAGGAGCAGGTGGGCAAGGAGCTCAAGGCCGCCCCGCCCTGATGCTCTTTGGCATACGGGGGCGGGAGGGGGAGACGCTCTGTGGGCCTTTCGAGATCCTGCCACCGGGCTCTGCAAGGAAAGAAGCAGAGTTGGGGGGGGGATCTTGAGTCTGTTCCTTGGCTGAGGGGGGCCCAAAGGGGTCATTTTCAGAGAAGCCTCTGCTAAACTTGAAACCTTTTTGAGATTTCTGTGCTGGACACAGCAAGGAAAGGAGGAGTTAACTCTTTTTTCTTTCTCTCTCTTTCTCTCTCCCCTGTCTCTGTCCCAGACTAACAACCGCCCCCCCCAGGCACTCCCCTCGTCCAAGGCCGCCCGGCAAGGCCAGTCCCAGGGCCAGGGGCCTGGGTGCGAGGGAGCCCCTGTGCCAGGGAAGAAATGGGCCCGGCCCCCACAGAGCACAAATGGGCAAATATAGGCCTGCCCCCACCGCCCCAGACCTCCTGCCAGCCAGGTGGTCTCGAAGCCCACCCGGAGGTGCCTGTCGCCGAAGGGGAAGGGGCAGCGTGCTCACCCGTTGAAGAGGACCTGGGCCAGCTTGAAGACTTCCTGGCCGGCTTCGACGCTGGCAGGGCCGAAGTGGGCCTCCACAGCCCGGAGGCTCCTGCGCAGGTGCCCGGCCGCTTCCTGCCACCTCCCTGGGCCAAAGGCAAGAGGGAGGCTCTGAGGCGGAGAGCGGGAGGAGGCCTCGCCTTGTTGCGGAAAGCGTGGATTGTGCAGTAATAAAAGCAGGGACAAACTACGGCTAATCCTTGACCTGCAGCCGTTCGAAGTTACCATGGCACTGAAAAAAGTGACTTCTAATCAATCCTCATACTTACGACCGTCACAGCATCCTTAGTCATAGGATGAAAATTTGGGCACTGGGCAACCGGCATGTATTTGCGACGGCTGCAGCGTCCCTGGGGCCGGGTGGCTGCTGTTTGCAGCCTTCCCGTAAGCGAGTGAATGGGGCAAGCTGGACTCGCTTAATGGCCCCACGATTCACTTAACGACTGCGGTGATTTGATTAACATCCGTCACTAAAAAAGGGGGGTCAAATCTGGCGGCCGATTTTAAAAGCCGCGTTGCTTAGCAACAGAAATTCTGGTCCCGATTTGAGAGGGGTGGGGTAACTCGCCCTCCCGCAGCCTTGGACAGGAGTGGAGAGGGCGGCGCCAGGGGTCTCGTACCTGTGGCTGCATACACCTGGGCCAGGTGGTCCTCGATCTCGCCCATGCTCAGGTGCGCTGGAGAGAGGAAGCGCTGGGCGTCCAGTTGGCACTTCTGCAGCAGCTCCAGGGCCCGACCTGGCCGCTCAGAAGGAAAGTGGAGCGTGAGAGGCGGTCCTGACCGGCGGTCACCTGGAGAGGCTGCCGGCCTGGACTCCTCCGCTCGCTGGGCAGGGGGAAGGAGTCCAGGGCCTCCGCAGGGTGGGCGGCCAGCCAGACCGGGGTCCAAACGGCAGCCGTTTGCCAAACGTCTCAAGTCAAAAAGGGGAGGGGGACAATGCGCCCCTCCCCATCCATCCTTCGCTCCTTCTATGACATCAGCTCTGCAGGGGGGCTCCCCACCTTCCCCCCGCCCTTTGACCCGTCCCTCCCTCCCTCCCAGCCGGCCTCCCCACGGGGCTCCCGTCGCAGAGAAGCTCTCCTGCTTTCCCCGTCTCGTGCCGGGCCCCGCCAACCTCCCAGGCAGAACCCCCCCCCTGGGGCTTTTGTTCTGGGCAGAATTCGCACTGGGGCCGGAGCGACTCTGGAAAGCCGCCCCTGCAGGCGGAGAAGGTCCCTGCCGTAAGGACTGGCAGGAAGAGGCTTGCTCCGAAATCCCCATCGCTTGCTCGTTCCCCAGGAGCAGCTCCCGGCCACAGATGGGGGGTGGGGTGGGGGTGGGGGCGTCCAGCCCTGGATTTTGCCTAAGGCAGCCTGGAAGGGGGTTGTGGGACTTTCAGAAGGCAAAATTAGGCTCTTTTTCTGAAACCAGCAATTAAAATAATAATAATAAAAATAACTGCAGCCCTATTATTTGCTTAGGCCAGGGGGAGGCCACCTCGGCTTTTATCACTCGTGGACTTCAACTCCCAGAATTTCTGAGCCAGTTGTGCCATGGGCCACTCCCTCTTTCACAGCCCAACCAACCTCACCGGGTTGTTGTGCTGGAGGAAGCTAGAGAAGGAAGGAGGATTAGGTACGTTTGCTGTCTTGAGTAACTTATAAAGTGAGATACAAATAAATAAATATGCTACGTTGCGATGAAGCCACTGGGGGTCCAGCTGGAGCCTCTGTGTGGGCATCCTTTCTGCCTGAGAAAGGGCTCCAGGATGCAGACGGGGGGGGGAGGGAGGGGCCTCACCTGGCTTGTCCTGCTCCAGGAGCTCCGAGGCTGACCGGGTCGAGTGCCGAAGATGAAGCAGCCGGCGGTGGAAGTCCTCCTCGGGGGCCAGGTGGTTGCAGGCCTCGCCTGAGCAGCGGAGGGTGCCTCTCCCCTAGGAAGCCCAGGGGACACCTTGGGGACAGAGCACCTCCGACAGCCAGGCGGCTGGGAAGGCTGCGCTTGGCACCCAACACACCTGGGCTGGCGGTGGGTGGGTGGGAGGGGCCTTGCATGCTCCCCCGCAGCAACACCTGAGCAGACTCACCTGCATGGGGCTCTGGCAGGCTGGGCAGCAGAAGAGGGCGGCCTCAGGGGCGTCCCTGGGCTGCAGCTCCTCCAGGCAGGCCTGACAGCGGCACTCAAAGAAGTACTGAGCCAGGAGGCGCCTGCGCCGCTCAGCAGCCCCCATGCGGCACCTATGGGGCCCTGCAAGCAAGGGGGAAAAGGGGGGGTCAGAGGCAAGAGGGGAACGGTCAGCCTGCGGGGGGGGGGGAGGCTGGCACGGATCCACACGAAGCCCAGCTGTTTCCACTTGGCTGCAGTTTTCTGGTGAACAGGGCCTTCTCCGTGGTGGCCCCCTCCCTGCAGAGAGCAGGCTGGCCCCACCCTCGCACTTCTTCCAAAGGCCCTGGAGACGGGGTCCTGCCGCTGGGCCTGGGGGGACCCCGGGGGAAAATACGCAGCCCACCACCTGGCTGCCCTGATTATTGTCGCCGGGGTGTGTGTGTAGATGGGCGATTATTGGGGCTTGTATTGGCCTGTAACTGTCCAGAGTCTCTGTGAATAGGTGAACTGGGCAGCCGTATACATTTTTCTAATAAACAGGTATGTTAATAAATAAATAAAACCAGGGAAACCTGCCAGGAATTCCAATATTCAAATTTTAGCCCCACGGCTTGCTCCTCACCAATAGTTTACTCGGGCTTCCAGGCCTTAAAAACAATCAGTATCTGCACCCCCCCCCCAGGAAACAGACCCTCATCAATTTGCCAGGGGTAGGGGAATTGTGCCAGAGGGGGCGGCAGCTGCTACAGCAGTGTTTCTCAACCTTGGCCATTTTAAGGCATGTGGATTTCAACTCCCAGAATTCCACAGCCAGCATTGCTGGCTGTGGAATTCTGGGAGTTGAAGTCCACATGCCTTAAAATGGTCAAGGTTGAGAAACACTGTGCTACAGCATTGTAACCGTCCGGACAGGAGGTGGCATTTGCCCCCATGGGGCCCCCCGGTTTCAGCCTCGCTCGTCTCCAAAGAGCAGCAGGCAGGCAGGGCACAGGGCGGCCCAACTGGAGAGCCAGCATGACCCACAGCTGTCGCTGGGGAGGGGGCTTGGTTTGACCTGGGAAATGGCCCCTGCCCTTTTTTGGGGGGGGGGGAGGGCAGAAGTGCGATGCCATTTCAACACTCATCTCTGGCTCATCGTTCAGTTCTCGAATTTGCTCCCAGACTAAAAGTAACGGAAACCAGAATCATAAAATCATAGGCCGGATATTATGTCATAAAACAAAAAGAAAGGTTAGAAAGAAGGTGAAAGAAGCTGAAAAGGGGCTTTGCTCTTTTATGCCCCAAGATTAGGTGTTAAGTTGCCGTGCTGTGAAAGGCGGTTTTCCAGGGGCCTCCGACATCCTTCCAGGAACAAAACCCCTCGCAAAATCTCTCCGTGCCACACGGCGGCTGGAGGGGGAGAATGTGGAGGAAAAGGGAAGCCGAGCCGAGCCCCGGGATTCCCACCCGGCACAGGCGGCTCCTAAACGGTGGGAAGGGAACCGGTTCCGGAAGGGGAGGCCGGCTCTGCTCGCAGCCAACGTGCCCCAGTCGCCTCCCAAAAGGGTTTCCCCGGGGCTGCCCTTGAAGACTACGCGGAGGCTAGTCTCACCTGGAGCAGGAGAGCGGGCAGCCTTCTGGGCCCCAGGAACTGCCCAGGTGGCCCCTTGAAACCCCACCTGTCACGGGACCCGGTGATCCGAGGGGCACTAGCAGGAGGGGAAGGCGGGGGGGCCCTGCGGCTTTGGGCTGGCCCTCCGGAGAGCCCCCTGGACTGCTTTTGCCATCAGGCCTGGGGGGGGTCCCCCGAAGTGGGCAGCCTGTTCAATGGCTGCATTGTGTATAATTGTATAGACTGCACACGCCCCAGCTTTTTAAAATTTATATATTATTATAAATTTTATAGGACAGGAAGGCCTGGAGGAACGTTGTCCATGGGGTCGCGATGGGTCGCACACAACTTTGCAACTAACATTATTATTATTATTATTATTATTATGGACTTTTAAACTGTTTTTTTGTTGGCTTCAATGGTTGAATTGTTTAGTTTGTGCTCCAGTTATGTGCACCAGCCAGAGCCACAGGCTGGTGGGGGGGGGGGAGAGCAGTATAAATCCAATAAAAATGACCGAATGAAACTTAGGGGGCCAAGAGCTTAATGAAAGCCTCAGACCAGCCCCTCGCAAGGTTACCCCAAGATAAAGAGAAGCACTTTCAGACCGGCAACAGCTTTCCCCCGAAAGCCATCCTGACCCGCGGGGGCCCAGCTCCTCCCTCAGGGGAGGCCGGGGGGGGCGGCTCCCACTCACCGTAGCAGTGGAAGAGCTCCTGCCCACGAGGAATCGGGCACAAGGCCCTGACCTCTGCTGTGCGGCCGGTGAAAGCCACGCTGGTGTTGGGGTCGCAGGAGTGGTTCAACAGGCTGAGGGCCGGGAAGAGGCCCGTGGCCAGGCGTACCTGCCCACTGCCGGCCACCGGCCCGTCTTCGGGTCCTGGGAGAAAGAGAGAAAAGCTGGAGGCCGAGATGCTCGGAGGCTGAGGCGCAGCCTCCCTCTGACACCCGCACCTCCGGCCTCTCGGCTGAGGGACAAGGCCCACCCCACCCTCTGCAAGGCTGCCCCCACTGACCTGACGGGCGCAGGGCGGTCACAGCCTGGCCGTTGCACTGCAGCTGCAGCACGTGACGCAGCATGGCCTCCCCCAAGACTTCCAGCCCAGCAGGGGCGTCTGCTTCCTCCTCCTCCTCCTCGGCCCCCTTTGCGATCCAGGCTTCCAGGCCAGCGTCCTCCTCCAGGGCCTTGCACAAGGCGGCCACGCTCAGACCACAGAGGAACCTGAGGCCGGGGCTGTGCCGATCCGTGTGAGGCAGAAGGCTGAAGATGGCCCGGTAGGAGCCGCTGTACCGTCCGTCGGCCTCACAGCCAGGAATGGGCCGGGCGCCCTGTTCTGCAGCCGCCACAGCAACGGGGGCGCCTCCCTCCTGCGTCCGGGTGACCAAGGCCTTCACTTGCGCGAAGCCAGCCACCAGCACGGTCCGGAGGGCCACGTGGCAGAAGACTCCCAGCGCCAGCAGCAGCCCTCCGAGGGCGCATTCTGCCCAGTGGTAGCTGCTCCACGCCAGCTGGGCACAGCCAGGGCCGCAGTACCTGCTATAGCTGCACCCTCGGCAGGGCACGGAGGCCAGCAGCGGGCGCAGGCAGTGGTGGCAGTGGAGGTCGGGGTTGGCCAGCCGCCCGTCCTGCAGGGCCTGGACGGTCCCTTCCAGCAAGAGGCTCTCCCCGGGACAGAGGACGCTGGCGAATGCTGCTTCCCTCACTAACAGCTTCCCAGGAGGAAGATCCTCGGCGGCAACTAAATGGCGCCCTTTGCAGCTGGAAAAACGCAAGCTCACGGCCACCGAGGCGCCAGAGACGTGGCTGCTCTCCTCCCAGGGCTCCGGGTCTGGTGCAACCTGGCCGGGCGCAGCAGACGGGCGATGGAAGGCCCCGCTCTCCTCACCACCTCCGTCCCGCACCTGTTGCAGCCGGCCCAGCAGTGCCCGGTGACGGGCGGCCTCCGGCCTCTGCTCCGCAGAGAGGCTCTCCTCCACGCGGCGCAGGGTGTCTGCCGCTTCCTGCAGCCGGCCCAAAGACAGCAGGCACTCGGCCCTGCGCAGCTGGATCTTCGGCAGCAGCTTCTCTGGGCAGCTCCCCATCTGCTGCGCCCGTCCGATGTCCTCCAGGCAGACCTGCGGAGAGGAAGTCAGGTTCTCCTGCAGCTTCCAGAAAGGGGCTTGGTGGAGCCACCCCAGATTCTTGGCTGCTCCCTTCCTGGGCTCTGGGGGGGGATGTATGGCTAAGAACGGGGCCTCCTCCAGCCCCCCCTCCATCAGCTGCTTGGGGAATTTTGGGAGTTGTGGTCCACCTATCTTAACGAAGCGGTCTGGACATCTGCTCAGTAGAAAAAAACCCCTCACAGTTCCTGTCAGACCTGCCTCAGCTTGAACCCCTAATTAAGAACCATTTTTAACTCTGCTTGATAAGAAAGGTATAGTTTACTAGAAGTCAAGTGAATTACGGTAGCGCAGGGGTCCCCAGCCCCTGGGCAGCAGCCCACTACCAGGCTGTGAGCTTTTCAGAACCGGGTCACCCGAAGGGGCAGACAAGAGCATGCGTGCATCCCCTCTTGACCAGGCAGTGGGCAAGCACCACCCCCCCCCTCCTCCCCCAAGGCCGGTCCGCAAAGCCAGAAAGGCTGGGGAACTGTGCAGTAGTGCACATCCAGAACTGAAGATCAGTCACCAAAACCCCCCAAGTCTAATCTCTCCCTCCCTTAGTTGCCTCCCCTCACTGGCCCCCGACCAGCCAAATTCAAGCAAGATGTTTTCAGGACGGTGTGGGTACGCAGCCACCTTGACCTTGAAGCTCTTCTCAAGCACTTTCCTTTCCCTCTCAGCAGCCCCCCCATCTGCCCCCTTCCCGCCCAGTTCAGGGCAGCTCCTACTGACTTGGTTGCGGAGAGCAAGCATGAGGTGGCAGCTAACCTTACTTGAAAAGGCTCCTTTCTACAGTCATCTGATAGACAAAGCATCTTTAAATCAGAAAGAATATAACGTCTTACTGGGTAGAGGAAAAAAAAACTGTGTTTCTGGGAGGGAAGAACTTTGAACTCTGAGCAAAAGCAATTATTGAACTCACCTCAAACTGACCAAGATGGAAAAGGGCTGCAGAGCGATTGGCGTAACAGGTGGCCATTTCTGGACTGCCAGCCTCCGCGTGGGACAAGGCCTGCAAGAACCAAAGGCCGTTTTACAGATGAGATCGGCCACACTGTGGCGGAATGCAGTCTGGATTCCAAGAGGGAGAAGCTGCATTCCTCAGCCCTGCACTTCCTGCTCCCCCCTTTGGCCATCTTTCAATTCATATTATTTTGTTTTATTTTTATTGCTTCATTGCTTTGCTATTGTTAGGTTTACATTTTTTATCATTTTCTTCTGTTTTACCATTGTAAGCCATCCAGAGCTGCCCCACGGTGAGATGGACAGCGAGTACACTAAACCAATCTTTCTCAACCTTGGCAGCTTTAAGCTTTAATGCTGGCTGGGGAATTCTGGGAGTTGAAGTCCACACACCTTCAACTTGCCAAGATTGAGGAACACTACATTAAACAAATTCCAGAAGGCAAAGAGGCAGCCAACTCACTCGATGGGAGAAAGAGAGTTCACACGGCTCCTCCCCAGCCATCCTCAGAGTATATTTACCGGGATGTAAGGACAGGGGTACCTTGGTACTCAACTGCTTTGAAAGTCATCGAATTTGATACTCAACACATTTCGATGCAAAAAATTTTGTCCCCATACTCATTTGGTACTCAACGCGCAAGGTAGAACTTTTCAGCGTCGGCTGCCTTGAGACTTATTTCTGATGGGAAAAATTTGTTTTAGGTGCTCGTTTTTGATACTCCTCTTGCCTCCTGGAACGGATTAACGGCGAGTACACTGAGGTGGCCCCGTAGTTGCTCCGGTCTGCCAAGGATCTATCTACAGGTGAGGAGCCATGAAGGAAACTGCTCAGGAGCAGCACTTTTGCGCCTTTCTCGATTCTTGGGGCCTGACACACCAGGAGCCCCTCCCGGGCAGAGGCTGCCGGGACCCCTGGTTGGGTTTATCGGGGCTCTCGCCCCACACAGGTGGGGAGGGGCCTAGAGTAAGGTTCATGTCTAGAGGGCAGCGGTCTCCACTCCTGAAGGCGATGATGATAATAACAATGTTGTTTAGGGACCAAAAACTAAATAGTTACTTATAGTTGATTTTATTTCACAGAAGAGAAAACTGCATGAAGCTGTTGTGGGAGTCCGGTGTAGGCAGTCCTTGACTTACGACCATAAATGAGCCCAACATTTCTGTGGCTAAGCAAAATATTTGTTAAGTGGATTTGTCCTATTTTACAACCTTTCTTGGCAGTTAAGTGAATCCCTGCCCACTGACCCTACGAAGGTCACGAAAGACGATCACCTGACCCCGGGAAGACTGCGACTGGCATAAATACGAGTCAGTCACTAAGCGGCTGAATTTCGACCTCGTGACCAGGGGGATGCTGGGAGGGTCGTGTGAAAAAGGGTCCTTAAGTCATTTTTTCCAGTGCCTTGTGAATGGTCGCTAAGTGAGCTGCCGTAAGTCGAGGACCACCTACCGCACAGGGCGACTCACGACCACAAGGCGGCCCTCCAGCGAGCCCTCCTCGGGCGCTAAGCGAATCCCGCGGCGGTTAAGCGGACCCTCCCACCTCTCCCCCCCCTCGCAGAGACGGGGCTCCCGGTTACCCTGGAGTAGAGCGCGGCGGCCGCGCGGTGCTCGCCGGCCCGGAAGCGCCGGTTGCCCTCCTGCCGGCAGGGCTCGGCCAGCCGGGGCTCCTTCCGCACCGAGAGGCGGCGGGACAGGCGGCGCAGGCTCCGCTCCTCCGCGCTCCTGCGGGGGGGGGGAGAGAGGGGGAGGGGAGGCGTTGGAGGGTCAGGCCGCCCGGCGGGTGGAGAGGGCGGGGAAAGGGGCGGGGGGGCTCACCCGAGGAGGGGGGCGGCCAGGCGGAGCGTCTCCCGGGGCGACCGCGCGCGCACCAGCCCCTCCCTCCGCGCCGGCCCCAGAGACCCCCAGAGGCGCCCCGCGCGCGCCCGCCACTCCTCGCCCGGCAGCAGCTCCATCCTCCCGGCATGCCCCGCGCCCCAGAGAGCGAGGGGGAAGGGGTGGGGCGCCACCGCCGCCCGGCCAATCGGGCGCGGCGGCGGCGGCACGTGGCGGGGAAAAAGGGAAGGGGCGGGGCCCGGCTCAGCGCGCGCGCGGGAACGAGGAGGAGGCGGCGGCGGGCAGGGATGGCGGAGGCGGCGAGGCTGAGCGAGGGGGCCATCGCGGTGAGCGGCCTTCCCCCGTCCTGCGGAAGGGGGGCTCCAGGGAGGCGCCCCTAGAACCCGCCGCCGACTTTCTCTCTCTCTCTCTCTCTCCCCCCCGCAGGCCATCCTGCTGCAGGCGGAGCCGGTGGGGAGGCCGGTGCTGCAGCTGATCGTGAGTAGCGCCCCTCCTCCTCCCTCCCTCCCTCCCTCCAGCGGGGACCGGGGGGACGGGGCAGGGCGGGAGGGGGGCTCCCTATGGGGCCTCCGGAGCCCGGCCCTCCCCGTCCTGCCCGGAAGAGCGTCCGCCGCCGCTTCCCCCGCGACGGACCTTCCGGTCTCCTAGCAAACTCTGCTGGGTGGCAGGTCGTCCTCGAGTTACGACCGCTCGGTTAGTGACCGCTGGAAGTTTACAACAACATTGACAAACGTGACCTGTGACTGTTTTGCACAGTTACGGCCTTTGCAGCATCCATGTGATCATAATGGAGACACTGAGCAACTGACCATATTTACGACCGTTGCTGTGTCCCCTGGGGGGATCACTCCATCCCCTTTTGCGACCCTCTGGCAAGCAAAGTCAGTGGGGAAGCCAGATTCACTTACTAACAGTTGCAGCGATTCACTTAACTGTCTCACTTAACAACATAAGTTTTGTGGTCGTAAGTCAAGGACCGCCTACCCATTTGGAGCACTGGGTGGAGTTTTCCTCCCTGGCTGTTGATTTCGGCCAGAGCTGGGTTTGAGAGGCCCCGGAGGAGGCAGCCAGAGGCAGGAGGGCCGAGGTTCCTTCCCTGCCCCCAAAGGGATTCCTGAGTGCTGGAAGAGGCAGCCCAGGCGGGAGGGGGGATAAAGTGCCCCATTCCCCAGAAAGGACCTCCCCCCCCCCAGCCTGAGCTGTGTGTTTTTCTCCCCTAGACGATCCGCCCCATCTCCACGGGGAATGGCCCCCCACGCTACCGGATGCTGATGAGCGATGGTGTGAACTCCCTTTCCTGTAAGGACCGACGTGTTGAGAGGGCTCAGAATGGGAAAGAGATTGTAAAGAAGCCCTCCGTGCTTGCCACTAGAAAGGGATAGCAGCCATAGAGTTCGGGGGGATTGTATTCTCCGGGAAGAGCTCTGGTTCAGCTCATCCGGTTTGTTGGCTTCATACTCCATCTTTCTGCTCTGCTAGGACTGGAGGAAGTTGAGGTTCAAAGCACAAAACTTTTCATAAAGTTCATACAGATTAAAACGATAAAGCGGCCATTTTCACAAAGGATTAGGGTTAGGGACTGATGGCTGCCTAAGACCCTGGTGGGGCCTGCCAGTGCAGGAGGCAAATCCTTTGTTGGGCATCAGACCCCTGTGCTGGGGGGGGGGCACAGAGAACATCACTGCCTTGTACAGGAATGTTTGATGGAGCTGCCCCTCGCCTGCTTGGCTCCTTCCCAGCTTGGCACTGTAACTGCTGCTAGACAAGGGTGGCCAGAATGGAGGTGGCATCATCAGGAACAGAGAGGCTGGCTTGGCTTCCACGTTTTGGCCTCGGTGGGCTTCAGTCTTTGGGCCGGGCAGGAGCTGCATAGCTGGAGAAGATGCCGGGTCAGGGCTGGAAAGCCCAGCCTGGGTGGAGGAGGGTTTTTTCCCCCAGAACAGGGAGGATGTTGGAAGCCAGTGGACCCTCCTTGAGACTGGGAGGGCCCCTGCAGCTCCTTGGGCTCCCCACTTTCTTTCCCTCCATCAGCAGCGTATTTGCCAACCGTCCCAAAGTCCTGCAAAGTTGCTGAAAGTATGTTAATCCCCTAGATTAACTGACCAGGAAGGGTTTGCTTTGCGTAAGCAGGGCTTCCCAAATGGGGCAACTTTAAGACATGTGGATTTCAACTCCCAGAATTCCTGAGCCAGCTAGGTGAATTCTGGGAGTTGGTCCACACGTCTTAAACTCACCACGTTTGGGAACTCCTGGATTAGAGAACAATTTTCTTGGGCAGCCTTATGTTACTTTGTCCCTCCAAGTCATTCCCTGCAGCAGCAACTGCCCTCTTTAAGAGCTGAAGAACATGGGGGCCTTGTGCCCCTCGAGGGAGATCTGCCCTCTCTTTTCCTTCCAAAGGGGCCTCAAATCCTGGCTCTGACATTTGGCCTGGCAGGGGGCCCTCCATGCCAAAGCTGGTTACCAGACTAGGAAGACCCCCCCCCACCTCAGTTACATACTTGGTTTTTAACTTATTCAGTCCCGTTTATTTTATTACTCCGTACTTGCTTTCATGATGTGGCAAGCCACCCAGAGTTGCTTGACAAGAGATTGGAGCCGTATAAATTTAGTAAATAACTGCCGAGGCCTCGTGGTGCCAGGAATCGGCTCAAGCACGGGAGGGCTCCAGGAAAAGGAGGAGCACCAGGGCCTGCTCAGCAGGAAGCCACAGGGGGCACCCTAAGGCCTCTCGCACAGAGCAGCCCCGCTCTTCGGGGACCTCTCCTTGTTCTCTGGCTGCTTCTGAGCTTCCGGCTCTGGACATGGGCGGTGGGGAGGGGTAGCTGGGAAAGGTGTGGTGCCCGATATAGGAAGAGGCTTCGGCATAAATGAGAACCTGCAGTAACATTTTAATTTGTATTGTAAATGTTTGATCAAATACGGCTTGCCAAATGAAACGCTGGCTTGCCCTTCGGCCCTGTCTGTTAACCTGATGATAAGCAAAGTGCAGCCAGCTTTTAAACTTCCCACGGTTGAGTGCGCAATTTTAAACTTCCGGACGTTGGGCTCCTCACACCAGCCTGTCTTCTGTTTGCAGCTTTTATGCTGGCCACGCAGCTGAACCCTCTGGTGGATGACCAGAGCTTGACCGCAAATGCCATTTGCCAGATTAACCGCTTCATTGTGAACACTCTGAAGGATGGAAGGTAACGGCTGACTCTGGGAAGGCGGAAGAGCCGTTGCTTGGGCCTGGCTTAAAGGAGGCCCCCGAGGGCGCCTGTGGGGACTGGGAATGGCTCCCCTTTTGCTCAAAGGCTGCTCTGGTACTTTCGCAGAAGGACAAATGTCCTTATTTTCATCTGCCCACACAAATCAGTGAATCCTTCCTGGCACACACAGGGTGAGAAAAGGCTGATGAGGAACGGGGGGGAGGGGGGCTCTCCCCTGCTTTAGAGGAGATGCTACTTTGTTGTGTTATCGCAGAATAACAAGTCAGGAATTTTGCCATCAGAGCTCCCCCCATCTGGCCCCTCCTGTAGTGAGAAGGACTAAAGACAGAAGCTGAAAAAAAACGGGTCGGGCGTAGGCTCAGGTGCCGGGTTGCAGCTGTAACAAGCTGGCCATTAACTTGGGCCCAGACTAAGTGTAGTTGTAGGAGAGAGCTGCAGGGTCTGGATCCAGGGCAACAGAAAGATATCCCTTGTGGGAGGAAGGTACAAAAATCCCAACTCACGTGAGGCTCTTGGTGCTCTCTGAGCTTTTTTGATGCTTTGCAGACATTTCATTGCCAAACCCGTGTGCTGATGATGCTCCCTAGTTGGGTGATAAAGCGTCTGCAAGAAAACAGGCAGGCTCAGAGAGTCCCAAGGACGCCACAGCTCAACCCTGAGTACAAACAGTCTCTTCTATCATCCCAACTTACATTTGAATGGGTTCTGAAAGGGCAGGAAGTGGCCAAGAAAGGAACTGTCGTGGACAGTGCCCTGAAAGTGCCACCTCGGTGTGAAGCTGCTCCTAAAAGAAAACGGAAGTCCTGGGACCCCCTCATATCCCTTGTGGGTGGGGACCGGCCTCTGCGCTTCGGAGGGATGCTTCAGGGGCAGCAAAGGGACTCCAAGATCATTGCAGGCAGCTCCCTTACAACAGAGGGGGAGGGCTCCTTGGTGTGGAGATCCAGGAGGGCGGGCATCTGATCACACGAGGTACAGGGCACGCAGGGGGAGGGGAGATTTTCTCAGTTCTGCCCTCATGCCAAATGCAGGGAGATTCGGGAGCACTGAGAGGCCCCTTCTGCACCCAGTGCATAGCTAACCGGGGGGGGGACCACTTGGCGAGATGGAAAGGGGTGCTGGGTGGGTTCTCAGTGTGTGGGGGGGTTGGGTCTGCAGCCTTGGGTGCATGTGAGAATGTGTGCATGGACTGTTCTTGCCCTCCGGTCCAGGGCTACGGGTCTCCCCCTTGGCCACCTTAGGGCCCAGACAGCCGAGTCAGGCAGGCCGAGGCAAGACCGTCGCCTTGGCGTCACTAATTGCCAGAGAGCTAACCCATGCAGGTGGGCGGTCCCTGGTCATGCGCTCATCGCATAAAACTGGAGCTCAGGACAGTTTTGTGCAGAGGCGATCGCCGCCTGTCGCCTTGCGGAATAGCCCAATGAGCGCATGCAGCTTGTAAATGCAGCGGCTTCCTAGCGCTTGGGAGATTTAGTCACAAGGCCCACATTTGAGGGATGGAAACGAAGCAGGCGTGACTTCTGCCACCGTGCAGAGTGAGAGGGGTCTTTGAGGAGGGGAAGACAGGGCGGAAGGAGGAGGACAAGGTCGTTTTCCAATAGGACCCCAGATACGGATCGGGGGGGGGGAAGAAGCGCCACTGCAGGACTCGTGGGGAGAGACACCCTCCTCCTGACCGTGGAGGTAGCATTTAAGGGGTGTCAGAAATGGCCTGCTTTGAGGGGTTGCTGTCGAGATGCCTCAAAAGAGCATTAAGGCGTTGTAACAGGCGGTCCTCCACTTATAACAGCTTGTTTAGTGACCACTCAAAGTTACAACCACCATAGCAGCATCTCCACAGTCATGTAATCAAAAATCAGACGCTTGGCAACTGGCATGTACTTATGGCAGTTTGCGGCGTCCCCGGGGGGGGGGGTCACGTGATCCCCTCTTGTGACCTGACAAGCAAAGTGCTGGGGAAGCCGGATTCCCTTAACCACTATATTACTAGCTAAACAACTGCAATGATTCGCTTAACAGCTGGTAAGAAAAGTCATAAAATAGGGCAAAAATCACCTTAACTGCTGCCTCGTTTAGCAACAGAAACCTTGGTCTCCATTGTGGCCGTAGGCCAAGGGGCCCCTGCAGCCTGGGGGCCTGCTCTTGTCCCGCTGCCCTGGCTTTCGCCTGGGCCTCCCTCCACGAGGGATTCCTCCAAGGAGCCTGGCCAGCCAGGGGTTCGTGACAGCCCCTGTGGCTGGGAGAGGCCCCGGCTTCCGTCTCGGCCCTGCCTGGCCTCCGTGGCGCTTTTGCTGGCCTGCCAGGATGTGTCTGGGAGCCCTCCTGGCCTCCGGTGCCTTTTGGGCAGCTTGAACGATCCGAGCTCTGCCCCCTCAGCGCCCACTGGGAGTTCATCCTGCCTGGCCCTTTGCCTCCGTCCTGGGCTGCCTCTGAGCGGAGCAGCGGTCCGGAGGCTGGCAAAAGCCGCCTTCAGGCTCCAGCAAGATCTCTCGGTTCGGGCTCCTGGCCTCCTTTTCAGGTGCCAGCTTAGAAGCGGGTTCATTTTTAGTAATAAAGGAAGCAAACAAGCCATGATTCCCTGTTTGGAGAGCAGGCCAAGGGAACCATTTCCAGCTAATGGGGGGGACGGTGGGGGACGCTTCTGCTTGGCCATTCTCTGTGAGCCAGGCGCTGGGCAGTGGGCTAGAGAGGAGCCCCCACCCGTGTTTGTCTTTGTAGGCGAGTGGTGGTCTTGATGGAAATGGAGGTGCTGCAGCCGGGTCACGCCGTCCCCACCAAGATTGGAAATCCAGTCCCGTATGTTGAAGGTAAACCACTTTTCCTAGCTGGCCCTCGGCAGCCTCTTCTGAGGCCTGCCTTTTGCCCAGGTTCTCGTCTTTGAACCTGGCTTAATCATGGCCACTTTTCTGTCCTCTGCTGATGCCCTTTGGTGAACCTCATTCAGATGTATTGGGGGGGCAATTGGCATGGAATCACAAAGCCCAGCAGGAGCAGCTACAGGTGGCGTCCACTGGCTTGCAACAGCAAGGAACAGGCCCCCTTTAAGAGCTCTGTGGCCGACTGATTTGTGGCTGAACCACGGGAGTGGGAGCCACGTGGGCAGGTGGAGATCTGATGATCTGGGCTCTCTGCCGAGGGAGGGGCACCCGCAGGGGCCCCAGCTCAACCCTTCCCTGAGGCTGCCCCCCCCCCAAGAGCTGCGAAGGGCATTTGGGACGCGTGGAAGCCTCCTCAGCCGGGGTGCCTGGAGTTGGGCCTGGCTTCTTTTAACCCCCCCCCCCTGCCAGCTGCTTCGGGAAATGGAGTGGCCTAGAAGAGGGAAGGCTGGGGTCCCACGTGAAGGGGGCAGTCCATGGAATCCCAGGGCTGACCGGCCTCCGCTTGGGGCACCAGAGCGGAGTGTAGCTCCCCCAGGGCGCTTTGTTCCGCTCTCCCCTTGGCCTGTCCCCTTGGCCTGTCCCGACTTTGGGTCCAGCCTTGGATTCTCAGATCTGCCTCTGCTGCCCAGCCCTGTTGCAGGAAGGGGGCAGACGAAGGAGGCAAGGAGGGGCCGGGCTCTTTGTCTGGGGGGGGGGATCAGCCTTGGGGATCCCTTGAGCTGAAACCCTTCCGGAATCCCTGACAACCCCCTGACCCCAGTTGCTGCCTTGGCCTTGGGGGCACAACTCCCCCTTCCTCTAAATCCAGAGGGAGGGAGGGGCTTGGGCTGCAATTGTCCCAGCCGGAGAGCGGGAAGCCTTGCTGACTGTCTCCGTCTGGAGCTGGGATCGCTCAGGCTGGCAGAGACGCTGCTAAACCGAGGCCCCTCCTCCCCTGGGACGCCTTTGGTTGCTCCCACCGGCCTCGGGCTGGAGCTGCCTCTGTGAACCAGGCGGAGCCCCTTCCTCCCAGCTGGAGCCCCCCCCCCCCAATAGCTCTCCAGGTCCCTTGCTCTGATTCACGGAGGAGGAGAGAGGCCAGCAGCAGCTCAGTGTGGCTCTAAGAAATTAATTCCACTTTTTTTGAAAGGCACTTTCTTCCTCTCCCTCCTCAGGGTTAACTGGTTTTGTCCTTAACTGGCAGGTATCAAGGCGTCTGCTTCTAATGCCTCTCTTTGGTTATACCTTACCCAAACGCTCAGAAGGCCCCGCCTCCCATTTGCATTTCAGAAAACTGGGATCCGGCAGGGAGGGGTCTCCCCCCCCTCCACTCTTCTCTCAACAGGCAGGGCTGTTTTTGAGCTGTTTATGCGGATCTCCCTGGGAAGGGAGTTGGGGAGCGCCTGGAAAACACCTGTCAGGAACAAGCTGCCACCTCATAAACACACACAGCGGGGGGGGGAGGTTGTCCAGGAGAGGCTTACCTGTGGGGCACCTGGGAGAGGCTTTCCACTCGGGGCCCCCAGAGGGAGGGACGGGGGACTCGCTCGGCTCTCAGACCCAGTGCCACAGAAATAGAAATAGCTTTTATATCATCTCACACCTTTAGCATTGCGCTGTGTCCTGTTTGAGTGGTAATTAGTTTGCGTGCTTCGTGTTCTTATTAGGCGTCCTAAGTGTTATGTCTGCAAGGGCGGGAGGTAAATTCAGGAAAGGATAAATGACAGTGGGGGGCCACAAGACGACAACTCCGGCAGGGGCCAAACACAATCCTTTTCTTTTTTGTGGGGGCATTAAGAGGACTGCAGACTGGCTCTTCCTGATTGTCCTGGGGGTGAGGAGGCAGTGACCGGGGGGGGGAGGTCTGGCTTGGCTGCAAGGCTTGGCGTTCCTGGGTGCTCCTTTGTGGTGCTCAGGGCCGCTCCGGGCACCTGCCAGGGACGGGGGTCGCTTGCTCAGGGGCCCCAAGGTGACGCCTTTCCCGGGGAACATGGGGGGGCCACCTGCCTTGCCCTCCAGGAAACAGGCGGCCTCCGTGTCCACCAGCCTACTTTCCAGTACCACTTCTGGGGGGGGGGCACAGGCAGGCCGTGCGACAGGAGAGAAAAGCCCAACGTTGCAGCAGCTGCCTAAGGATCTGGAGGCCGGTGTGCGGGGGGGGGGGGCTGAGCAGAGCTCCCACTTCAGGCCCAGCTGTTGAGTCGGGGGCCTGGGCTGCCCTGGGCGGTCCCAGCTGTCCAACCTGGAGGCAGCCCATCATTTCTGGCCATGGTGGCTTCGGCTGGAGACGGCCTGGGGCACCTTAAGTGAGCCACAGAAGCCACAGAAGCGGAGCAAGAGCTTCTGGAGCAGCTCAATCTGTTTTCCGAACGGCTCCCCTGTTTTCCCGGCCAGAGGAGAGGCCCCCCCAAGAGGCAGCTGCGCCAGCCCCAAGTCGAGTGCATCGTCCTCCTGCTTTTCTAGGAACGGCAGGGGGTAAATTGGAATGCTTGAAAGGAGCGCTGAATAGGCGACACTTTTTTTAAAAAAAACGAAGTATTCCACCGCCAGCTTTGTGCTGGAGAGCTTCATTCCGCTTCCCCTCCCTGTCCCTGCTGCCTCCTCGACTCCGGCGCCCGGTCTTAAAGTCCCTGTCTGGGGTTCGTCCCCCCTTCCCTTCTGGATGCCTTCCCCAGATAGGTGCTTCCTCTCCCCTTGCAGCCCCTGGGCACACAGACCTCCCCCGCGTAGCAAAAGCGGTTCTGGGTCCGCCTCTCCTTGGGTTTCCTGGGGGGTTTCTTTCCTACTGCAGATCTGAAGGTCCCAGGATGTGAGGCAGGGCTGCTTTCCTTGGTCTCCGCTCCCATTTTTTAAGAAGAGCCAGTCCGGTTTTCTGCCCGTGGGCCCCAAAGGCTGCCCCTGGGTGCCAGGCAGCCGATTTCCCACCCCATCGGTCTCGAGACGCTGTGGTTCCAGGCTCGGTGAAATGCCCTGGGTGGGGGCCACGGAGTTCCTGCTCCCTGGGATGTCGTGTCATCCGCCCCTCCTTGTTTCAGCCGAGTCAATGCCCCCTTTGTGCCTTTGCTGTGGCAGTGGCAGAGAGGGCAGCGTGCACCCCCGTGTCCCCTTTGCCAGAGCGGGGAGGGGGATTCAGATCCAGTGGGCCTCTGCTTGCCTTTTGGGCGCTTGCAGGGAGAGCGCTGGGCCACTCATGCCCCATAAATGTCTCCTCTTCCCCAAATAGGACCTGGGCAAGCAGGGAGGCAGCCCGTGGCCCCCAGCCCAGCAACCGGCCCTGTCCAGAGCAAGCCAGCGGGGCTCCAGAGCGGGGCTCCAGATGCAGGTAAGGGGGGGGTCTTTTGGGGAGGCTGCAGGGGCTCTGGTGACGTCAGTTGCTCCTCCTCCTGCTTCTGTTAAAACCCCAATCTGGAAGCACCACCCGAGTGCCTGGCTCCAGCCTGGCCTCTCAGACCCCGCCAGAAGCCCCCTCCTCCCCCCCCCCCCCCCCCGAGGCCGCGGCTGCTGCCAGAGAGCTGTGCGCAGAGGGGGCTGCCAAGGGAATGGGGCACTGTCCCAAAGCCAGTTCCTCGTAACCCCCCCCCCCCGAATGAGGCACTGCTGTGGCAGGCAGGACCCCTGCTGGAAGGGCTGCCCTCAGGAAACAGGCCTCCATTTCTGGGATCTCCGAGGGAAGCCCCCAGGCGGGCCACGGAGCCAGCCAGAAGACCTGGGGGGAGGGGCCCGTGGCGGCCCAGAGCTTCTCCCGCTGCCTTGATCGACACCCACTTTGGGTGGCCTCTGAATGGCCAGGAGCTTTTCCAGGGGGGTCTTTTGTTGGGCTCCCCCTGTGAGCAAGCAGGGGACGCAGAGCTGAAAAGGGAAACCGGCTCAGGGGCTGAAAGCGGAAAAGGCGTTTTTCAGCCTTGTCAGGTCGCAGAAGAGCTTAATTAATAATGAGGGATCCCATCATCTGCAGAGCTGGCAGATAATTATGGCAGGCGGGGATGTTAATTGCTACTAAAGGAGGCGAACCTGCCCGGTCTTGGCAAGTAACAGACAACTTCATTCTTTTCATGGAGGGGGGGGAATGGGTGTGTGTGTGTGTGTGCTTCTTTCCAAGTAGCCTGGAAGAGTAAATTAAGGGGGAGGGTTTGTGTCGTTTGTGTAGTGACAGGCTCCAGCAAGGCTGTGGGAGCAAATCCCCCAAGAGTCTGAGGCACTTGGCAGGCGAGAGCCCCTTCCCTCCAGCGGGCGCTGTGCCCACGCCTGGGCTTCGGGGGGGCTCTGCTGCCCCCCAGTAGTTCTCTTTGTGAGCAATGAAAGGGGGGGTGTCTCTCCCTAACGGAGGCCCGAGGATGCCGTCCTTCCCGGCCCCTCACACCGCTTAGTCGGGCGGGGGGGGGGGGCGGTGTTTCCCCTCCCAGCAAGGACCGGGGCCTCAGTGGGGCCGAGGGGGAGGGCGGTGTTTCTGGCTGCAGAATGACTCATCCTCCAAGACGCAGGCCAGTCCTGGCTCTCTGCCCCTTCTCCAGGGCAGCTGCGTGAGGGGTTGGCAGTCCCCCAGGTGCCAATGGTGATGTGGGCAACTTTGTTTTACTCCAGGAGCACAGTACCCCAGCACTTCCAGACTGCTGGGGAACGCAGGGGGCTCCAGCATCCTGAGCACTCCGGGGGGATCTCAGGTCAAAGTGGTGCCCATCGCCAGCTTGAACCCTTACCAGTCCAAGTAAGTGCAAGGCTGCCCCGGCTGCCAGCCCCCCCCTTCCTTTACGGGTCTCAGCGGTGATGGTGGGACGGTTTCCTGCAATGGGGCGGTGATTAAGGGTAGAGAAAGGGGCTTCAAAGGCCATGGGTGGGCTGGTGGGTTGCCCTGTGGCAAAGGGGCTGGCAAGGCAGCACAGCCGCCTTTGAGGCTTTGAGTGGCGAGTCTGCCTGGCACTCTGGGGCTCCTGGCGGGTGTGCCTGCCCGGCCTTGCGAAGGCCCTTCTCTCTGCCTTCCTCCCAAGGCTGCTGGCCTTTCCCCAGGCCAAATTGCAGCGGTGGGTGGGGACCTGATGGGGGAGGGGGCAGGAGTGAGGAACGGGAGCCCGTCTTCCTGCCGGGTGGGGCAGTGCCAGCTCCCCTGGGGGAAGGAAGGGGGTGCGGAGCGGGATGGGACGATTCAGCAAGCACTAAAGTTAAATTAATTTTGATGGAATCATGGCCAATGAGAATAAAGTCGGTCCAGAAATACAAAGGCTACTATAATTTCCACGAAAAGGTGGCCACCAATAATGAAAGCACCTGAATGGAGCAACTGGGGCAGCGTTGGACGGTCCCGGGCTGAGTTGGCCTGGACCCGGTGCAGAGGGTGGGCTGGTCTGGAGTCCCTCCGGGGCTCCCCGGGTGCCTTATCCGCAGGGAGGGGGTCCCGGGGTCTGGCCTCTCTGAGGAGCCGCCGGCCGGGCCGAGTTCAGCTCCCTCCGTGGCTGCTGTGTCTTTCCAGGTGGACCGTCTGTGCCCGGGTGACCCAGAAGGGCCAGATCCGCACCTGGAGCAACTCCCGGGGCGAAGGGAAGCTCTTCTCCATAGAGATGGTGGATGAGAGCGTAAGTGCTGGCCTCCTCGCCCAGGCGGTGGCTGTCTGGGGCCACGAAGAATCGCGGACTGCCGTTCCTTTCGCCTCCGGAAGTCGGGGCTTCTCCCAAGAGGCCCTTGGCAGCAGTGAGGCCTTGAGTCAGACCGGCTGCCTGTCTGGAACCTGGGAGGAGGGGTTGGGGGGGGGGGCTGGGTTGAAATGGCTCCTGCCCTGAAAGTGCAGCTGCCACTCTTCCCCCCCCCCCTCAGCTTTCTCTGAGTTCCCTTTACTCCCTTCCGCTGGGTCCGGCGTTTTCCTGTAAATTTAGATTACATTTTAAGCTGGGTCCTCGACAGCAGAGTTCCCCAACCTTCCTGGCTCTGGGGACCGGTGGGGGGAGGGGAAGAGGGGATGGTTCTGCGCGAGTGGCAGGCGTGTGTGTGTGTGTTCATATCTCCATTTGCACCACCCACTGCTCATGCAGGTGGGGATGTGTGCAGTCTCGCCCACCCCTTCAGTGGCCCAGTTCTAAGGCTCCAGGCCCGGCAGCGGTGGGCAGTGGGGGACCCCTGCTCTACAGGTTTGGGTGAGTGGGATTGGCCAAAGAAAAAAAATTAAAAGATGGGGAAGGAAGGTCTTTGGGCAATCTCCCTGGGAGGGGGAGGCCGGGAGAGCGTCTCTTCGTGAGAAAATGAGGGTGTGATCCGTCAGTCTCTCTGGGGGGCGCCGACTGGGTTAGCCAGTTAAAGCCGTGAAGCAGGTGGCAGACAGAGAGGAGCCGCGTGGTGACCGCTCACTTTCCGGAGAGGACTTGCAAAAATATGTCCAGGCCTGGAAGGTGCAGTTCTGAGCTCCTCGGCTGCTCCTTTCCTTGCTCCTCTCGGCTGTTTTGATGGGTGCCTTTTATTGCCGTCTCAGTCCTCCCCTTGCGTAAAGGTCTTAGCTGCTGGTGCTTGAGCTCCGCTTTCAATTGCCACTTCAGGAAGAGCTTGTCACAACACCCGGGCGCTGCTCTTCCCAGGGTGATGTCGTCCCTGATTCCTAAAGCGGGAGGGAGGCAGGAAGGCCTGGCCGGCCGGCCAGCAAAACCACCGGCCAGGCTGCACAGGCCCTCCCGGAGGGCTACACTGGACTTGCGAGGGTCCGGAGAGGCGTCAGTTGCCTCAGGTTTGAAGGGACGATCCAGCTAGCTCAGCATTTGACAAACCGAGGGAGGAAGATGTTATTTTTTTTTTTTTTCATTTTCTCTGTTTGGTTTTGAAATTCTTAGCTGGCATTTGTAACGGCCCACAGCCCCACCGCCAGTGGGTGGCCTGGGCTGCTGATGTCGCACGGCGTAGATGCCATTTTTGTTGTGGGCCGGTTGCTCCGCTCCATCTTCTCCACACGCTTTTCTTCGGAGTTGACCGTCCTGAGCATGATTTCTGAAACAGTCAATTGGGACAGGCAGGGGCCACATGGTGGATGTGGTCAAACCGCTGCCCTGGAGGCTTCTGTTGGCATCACCGGGAAGGGAGTGGCGCTACTCTCCTGGGGCTCCGGAGGCCCTTTCTGAGCCTGCTCCGTGTTGGCTGTTTTCTCCCCAGGGTGAGATCCGAGCGACGGCCTTTAACGACCAAGCGGACAAGTTTTTTCCTCTCCTCGAGCTGAACAAGGTATGGGGGGGGTTGGGGGGTGCCGCTGCCTCACTCAGCAGCGCAGGGGGCAAAGCGGAAGGCCAACCATTCTCCCTTCAGCGTTAAGAGTCCTGAAAAAATAGCTCGGCTGCCAAGCCCAGCCGGGGCCCACCGCCCGGGTCTCAGCCGCCGCCTCCTCCGCTCTGCCCCCCCAGGTCTACTACTTCTCCAAGGGCACCCTGAAGACGGCCAAAAAGCAGTATACGTCTGTGAAGAACGACTACGAGATCGCCTTCTCCAACGAGACGACCATCGTTCCCTGCGAGGACGCCCACCATCTGCCCTCTGTGCAGTTTGACTTCGTGGACATCGGGGAATTGGAAAACACAGACAAGGACTCCCTCGTGGGTCAGTTCCGGGCCGGGCCGGGCCTCTCGCTCATGGTGGGCACGGCCCCAAAGGCCCAGTGACCCAGAACGGGCCCATTTGGGCTCTGAGCAGGGCTGCTGGCCTCGGCACGGAGGCTCTTGGCTTGCCCGCTCCTGCTGGCATCCTGGGCTGAAAAGCCCCAGCAGCACCGCTGAGACCCACTGCAGCGTGAGGGGCCCGCGGGGCCAGGAGCTCAGTGGGCTCCAGGCAGAGACGCTGCCCGGAGCTTCTCTTCAGGGACCAGATCCCCTGGCAGAGCCCAGAGAGGGTGCAGCCCTGGGAGGCCCCCCATTCTGTCCCCTTCCTTTCGGCTCAGGAGCAGCAGGAGGGGCTACGGGGCCTCAGGCAGCCCATGGCGGGGTGGTGGTGGAGATGCCGCTGGCGTCTTCTCGGGCAGGGAGGCTGCCCTGCTCTCCCTCAGCCAGGACACTCTCTGCTCGCTAGCACGGAGGGAGCTTTGGGAGATGCAGGGGGGGCGAGGGAGTTCTCTATTGGGGGGCAGCTGACGAGGGCAGAGGAGGGGCTCCTCCCTTGGGGGGAGGGGACAAGGCTCTTTGCCCTCCAGCCTGGCCTTCTTTCCCAGACGTGATCGGGGTCTGCAAGAGCTACGAGGACCCTCAAAAGATCACCATCAAGGCTTCCAATCGGGAGGTCTCCAAGAGAGAACTGCACCTGATGGACATGTCGGGCAAGACAGTGACGGTCACTCTCTGGGGCGCGGACGTAAGTAGTGGGGGAGCCGGGGCGCTGCTGCTTCCCAACCAGGCCGGGCTCAGGGGCTCCAGTCTCCCCGGGCATCACTGGGGCCCGGGGCAGGAGGGCCGAGACCTCCTGCCTGGAGCACAAACATCCAGGCTCTCCAAAGGGGGAGGGGGATGGGAGGGGGGGAGACAAGCAGTTTGACACCTGTAGCCCTCAAAGAGCCCCCCTGTCTCTGCCCTCGAGTCCCCCTCCCCCCCTGACCTCGGCATTCCTGGCTTTGCAGGCGGAAAACTTTGATGGCTCTCGGCAGCCGGTAGTGGCCATCCGGGGGGCCCGAGTCTCGGACTTTGGGGGCCGGAGTCTCTCCGTGATCTCCTCCAGCAGCCTCCTGGTGAACCCCGACTGCCCGGAGGCCTTCAAGCTGCGAGGCTGGTGAGTCTGCTTGGCTTCCTGGCAGAGAGACCGCCTGGATCCAGCCTGCCCAGGCTGTGAAGGCCAGGCCTGTGAGGCAGAGCCAGTTAAGGAGGAGACACCACAGGGAGGCCAGGAGCAGAAGCTTGAGAGCCCCCCCCCAGCTTTCTCTGTCTCTCTCTGCTGCTGTTCCCCCCCCTCCTTAACAACGCCCAGAATCAGGATGGGGCTCTTCCTGTCTCCCGCTGGCTTCGGTCTCCGTCGTTGACCTTGCTTGTCCTGGGCGGTTCGGCCCGTTGGGGCAGCCGGGGTATAGAGAGCACGTGCGAAGAGACTGCAGGGCGAGTCCAGCCGAACTGCGGTCCAGAGGCGACCGATGGGACACCTGATCCTCCTGTGGCCAGCTGTCCAGATCAGCCACTGAGAGCTCGAGGGGGGAGCCAGCCCCACTGATTCCAACCTTGTGCAGAGAGGGGCTCAATTTCCCCTGTGGGGGGAGGTGAAAGGCTGGTTCAGGGTGCGAAATAAGCCTGGCTGTCCCCCTCAGCGTGCCTTTTCCTTCCACTTTGTGGGCTGTGGGGGAGCTGCTGCTGCCTGACCCTGGAGGGCTCCTCTGCCCTCCTGCGGGGTTCTGGGTGGCAGCCGCCGTCTGCCTAAGGGCGCAGGGGTCACCGCGGTGCCTGGGGGAAGGGAGCTGCCGCTTTGGGGTGCACGTCTTCGTCCCGCGACTGGCCACGACCGACCCCCGTGTCAGCCTGAAAGAGCCCCCAGCCTCCCTCTGCAGCGCCCTTCTTGCGAGGGAGGCCGAGGGGTTCTCAGGCTTGCCAGGAGCCGCTCTTGGCACTGGAGAAGCCTTTGCACCCTGGCTTGTGTGGGGCTCCTGGTTCCCCTGAAGGGCTCCCAGCCGCTCAAGGCCCTGGCCACGTCTGCACAGCGCCTGCGGGGGGAGAGGAGGGGGCCGTGGGGGGTACTTGGACCGTTGCAGCTAGGCTGGGGCCAGGTTGGCCTGAGGGTCAGGGAAGAAAGGGGGGGGATGCATGGAAGATGTGGGTGGGGAGAGGGACAGGTGGCCATTCTCGGCTACCAGGCATGGGAGGGGGCCTGGGTTCGTTCTTTGGGGACACCATCCCTCAAAGGAACCCCCCCCCGCTCTCTTCAGCGGGCAGCTGCATGAGCAATTCCCCCCCCCCATCTGCAGTTAGTGGTGGGGTGCAGGCCAGGGAGGGAGAAGGGGGCCTGAGGGGGTGAAGGGAGGAGCCGGATGGCCCTTCAGGGAAAGCTTGGAAAGCCACGGGGGAGGGGCCAGGCCTCCCCTCCAACTGCAGGCAAGCCTCCCTTGGCACGGAGGGGGGCGGCCAGGCTGGCATCTTGGGCTTAGTTCTTCCCACTTGGGGGGGGGCAAGCAGAGCCCCCCCTCCTCTGCACTAAGGAGACCCATATTCCCATCCAAGGGCTGGTGGTGCAGAGGGTTTTGTGGCCGCAGAGCCTCCTCCATCGCTGAGCTGCTGGCCTCTCCCTTCCGCCTCGCCCCCCCCCGCCCCTGCCGGGGCCAGGCAGGCAAAGGGGGGGCTGGGCTGGGAGGCCAGGCCGGCTGCCCCTGGCTGGGACTTGGGCCGGGCTGGTTCTTCCCAGGTTTTCCAGAGGGTGGGGGGGGTCCACCTGCTTCCCCCTCCCCTTGCCAGGCCCCCCTGCCTTCCCTCCAGGGAGCAGGTGCCGTGCAGAGCCAGGCCCAGCCAGGCAGGTCTCCCTCCGCACTCATTGGAAGAACGGAGGAGCGCCAGCCTCCTCGGGTGACGAATCCGTGCCAGCGCCTGCAATCCTTTCCAGGTCGGCTCATTGATAAAGAAAAACCCCTCGTGCGGCATGTAAAACTAAAAGCCGTTTTTCTTCCAGGTTTGATTCGGAAGGGCAGCACGTGGAGTCCGCCTCCATCTCTTCCGGGTGGGGCGGGCTGGCGACAGGGGGGAACACCAACTGGAAGACCCTGCAGGAGTCCAAGGCGGAGAACCTGGGCCAAGGAGACAAGGTAAGAAGGGGACCCAGGTCGGGGCGGGGGGGAGCCCTGAGACACCCCCCCCCCCCAAGGACAGAGCTCTCCGTTCTCCGCTCTGTTTATTTATCAAATCTGTTTATGGAGTTTTCAAGATAAATTGGAGAGAAGGCCATCTGGACTTACAAGTAGCCTTCAACCTATGGGCACAATGGAGCCAAAATGGCCGTTGCTAAGTGACGCAGTTACATAAGTTTTACCTCATTTACGACGTTTTTGACACAGTTGTTAAGCGAATCGCTGCGGTTGTTAAGCGAATCTGGCTTTCTTGGGCTGAGAAGGCTGCCCGTGGCGATGGCCTCCCCCTGGGACAGTGCCGCTGTCCTGGTACGTGCCAGTTGTCGACCCAGGTGCCCGGCTTTCGGTCACAGGACCGTGTGTGAGTCACTTCACTGCGGTTGTGAGTTCAGTCACTAAGTGAACGGTTACAAGCTGCGGGATGCCTGCATTTTGCGATTCTTGGTTCTGTGGGGCGGCTGGCAGCGGAGGAGCCCGTGGCGTTCTAGGCAGGGCCTCCCGGAGGGGCCGCCGGGCGTCATGGCAGGTGCCGGGTGGGCCCCGGTCCCGGAGGCCCCCTGCCAACCCCTTTCTGCGCCCCTCCCCGGTTGCCTCTGCAGGCCGACTACTTCAGCTGCGTGGGCACGGTGGTGTACCTGCGCAAGGAGGGCTGCATGTACCAAGCCTGCCCCTCCCAGGACTGCAACAAGAAGGTGATTGACGAGCACAACGGCCTCTTCCGCTGCGAGAAGTGCGACCGGGAGTTCCCCAACTTCAAGTACCGCATGATCCTGTCGGTGAGTCCGGGGCTGCGGAGCCTCTCCTGGGGAGGAGGGAGAGCGGCGGCAGAGAAGGGCAGTGGTCTGGGGTCCAGCCAGGAGTCCCGGGTGGCGTCCCCGGTTCAGCCTTGAGGGGCGACACCCCCCCCCAGCCCAGCAGAGGAGCTGGGAGCCCCCTCTGCCCACCAGCGCTGGGGGTCCCGGGTCTGGCTCAGAGGGAACCTGCTTCTTGGGCATGCCACGGGGCTCCTCTTGGCCCTCCGCTCCAGGCCTTTCGTGTGAAATACAAAACTGCCCAGGAAGGTGGGAGACCTGGCCTGAGAGCAATCTGGGGAAAGTGCAGAGATGCAAAGTTTCCTCACGTAGGGGGCCCCCAAATCAAGTAGGGTGCCTGGCTTTGTAATGGCCCTTGCCAAAAAGGTCTTGGAGTCGTGGAGTGGGAAGGAACCCAGAGATCATCTATTTCAGCCACGGATTTACTAGAGCACCCTGGGCAGGTGGCCATCGAGCCTCTGCCTGGAGACTTCATGTCAAGTGGCCGTCTGTTCCACCGGCTGACGGCGTACAGTGACCCTCTGCCATGAGCCTCCTGGCTTGTAGTTTCAATCCACGCGTTTTGGCCTGGCTACTGGGAGCAAGTCCGCCCCGTCTTTTGTGGGTTCCCCCTCACCCCAAAAGACGCAGAGGCCGCTCTTCCATTGACTGCCCACTGACCGAGCTTGCGGCGTGACGGGGGCTGCCCCGAAGGCGGTTTTAGGCTTCATCAACGGAAGTGGGGTTTCCACAGAGAAGCCCAGTTTACGTTTCCGCCGGTTCTGGGGACCCAATTTAAGAAGTTAAAAAGTTAAAAAGACAGCCAGTGAGAGCGACCCAGGGAAGGTCCAGCCTGGGCGGGAGGCGATGCGAGGCGGGGGCAGCATTCACGGCAGAACCCGGGGCCCTGGGGCTGGCAGTACCCAAGGGGGGCGTCAGGAGAGGCCGCCCTGCTCCCCGGGGGATGCCCTGGCTTAGACCCCCGAGTTAAAGTGAGCCAAACCGGCCCTCTTGGAGCATGGGGAGGGGGAGCCTCCGGGAAGCCAGCGGCCCTCCCGCCCTCAGGAGGCTCCAGCCAGGAAGGTGCCCTCCCAGCCCTCTGGCTCAGCAGTTCAGGGCCCCTGCCAGGCGGCAGCCCCAGCCCCCCTCCGCAGCTGAGCTGGGGAGCCTCCGGGCGACCCCCAGAGGCTGGCAAACCCTCTTGGAGGGGGAGGGGCTTGCTGGAAAGCAGCCATGGGGCGGGGCCTGTGAAGGGGGGGTGGGAGGAGGTCCCTCTCACTTCTCGGATGCCCCCAGATTGCTGGGCTTTTAGCCTCCCCCTTGGCCCCACACTGAGCCCAGTCCTGCAGTATGGAAGCTGGGCTCTCCTTCGGGCAGGCGAGGCCTCCTGGGCAAGGGAGTGAAGGGTCCGGGGGGGGGGCACTGCCTTCTCCTGCCCCACTGAGGCCCTGGGCCCTGCCTCTCACCCGGGAGCCTCGCCCGGGCCCCCTCCGTGCTCCTTGCTCAGCAGCTCCGGCTCAGTTGCCAGCCTCCTTGTGAGGAGCTCGGCCCAGGCAGGGGGGCCTTTCCAGGGAGTGGCAGCTTCCCCCCTCCGGTCGCCCCCCCCCTTGGAGCGGGCTCTCTGGAGGCCCCCGTTCTGCCTCTCCTGCCCTCGTGCTGCTTCCATGGGGGCGCGCAGCCTGCCGAAGGGCCCCCGAAGTATTAGGGTCCCGTGACTCCTCTTTAGGAGCCCCCACAGAGGGGGCCGGTGGAGAGGAGGGGTGCTGGAGGCTCACTTCAGCTAATGGACCCGGGGGGGGGGAATGAGCAGCCTCTTCCAAATAGGCCCCTCCCTTTATTCCTCGGCTGTGCTCCCCCTCTTTCCTTCTCTCCCTTCCCTCTTTCCATCTCCCTTTCCCCCTCTCCCTCTCTCTTTCCCCCCTCTCCCTTTTTCTCTCCCTCTCTCTTTCCCCCTCTCCCTTTTTCTCTCCCTCTCTTCCCCTCCCCTCTCTCTCTCTCTCTCTCCCTCGCTCTCTCTGATCCACTGGTGGTAGCACCAGAGGCCCAGGGCCCCCTCTGCCACCTGGCTGGCGGGGGGAAGGGGGGGCCCTGGCCTCTTGGCTAGTGCCTAGGCCGGAAGGTACGGGAGCTCCTGGGGTTCAATTTTCCCACGGTCCACTTTTATTTCTCTGCTCGTTGCTCCGTCTCTTCCTGCCTGCGACTAAGGAAGTAAAAACGCCCCCTCCGTTCTTGGGCCTGCAGTAAAAACAGGGACGCCCAAACACGGTTCTACCCACTGAGGACATCCCTGCAGGCCCCCATCTTCCTCTTTGGGGCCCCCACCGGCAGGACCCACCCCTGGCCTCCCTGGTGTTAGAGGGCCCAGCACTGCTTTCCCGTCCCGCTCCCTGCCTGGGTCTCCGGAGGGGGGTGGTCTGAGCAGGGGGGGAGGGTGGTCTGCGCAGGGGTCCCCGGGGGGGGGGCTCTGCCTTCGGAGGGCTGAAGTTCTCCTCTTCCTCCCCAGGTGAACATTGCGGACTTCCAGGACAACCAGTGGGTGACCTGCTTCCAGGAGACTGCGGAGGCCATCCTGGGGCACAACACGGCTTACCTGGGGGAGCTGAAGGAGAAGGTCAGGAGGCCCTTGGGGGCTGCGCGGAGAGCCCCTCTCCCCTTCCCAGAGGAGGCCCTGCCTCCCCAGGCAGGGCAGCGTGCGTGCCTGTGTGCGTACGTGCGTGTGTGTGTGTGTTGACCTGCAGCCTTTCATTAGGGAGCCACCATACAGGCCCAGCTCTGCCGGCTCAGGCCAAGGCCAGCCCTGTCCAGCCTCAGTTTCCCTCCTCACCAACCAGAAACCAGAAGAAGTTCCTTCCTGGGCAGCCCCCAACGCCTCCTGAGGCCCCTTCCCTGGGTGGCTTCCTTCACAGAACACCTTAACAGGCCCTGAAGGGGGGCCCTGGCAGCCTCCCACTGCCCCCCCCCCGTGAAAGGCGAGGCTGGCGTCCTGTTTCATGCGGGGCCCACCACAGTCCCACCTTGCACTCCTTCTCGGTGATTGAGGCCCAAGAGTCCACCTCGGGGCCCTCCACGTCCATTCCCTGCCCAGGCGCACTCACGGGGAGGATGGGAAACGGGGGTCTCCTTGTCGAGGCTGAATGGGAAGGTAGCCAGCCGCATGAGACCCCCGTTGCCGCCCCTCCCTCGAGATGGCTCCCAGGCGTTTGCTTGGCTCCAGCCTGCTCCTTGCCCTGGCCTTTCCCAGAAGGGGGGGGGCATCCTTCTCAGACCAAGGGGGGGTCTGTTTCCACCCTGCAGTTGCCAGGGGGGGGAGGGACTGAGCCCTGGCAAAGGGTGGGGCTGCGATGCCCGCGAGAGCCGGAGCGCCAGGCGGCATCCGTCCTGCAGGCGGGGAAGCGCTCTGGCCAGGCTGAAGGGCTGATGGGGTTGCTTTGCTCTCCCCCCCCCCCCAGAACGAGCCCGCTTTCGACGAGGTCATCCAGAATGCCAACTTCACCTCCCACGAATTCCGGATCCGAGTCAAGATGGAGACGTTCAATGTAAGAGGACTGGGGAGGGGGTAATCGTCATATCGGGGCTGCTGGGCTGGAGACTCGTAGTGCAGCTCTGTCTTGCTTGGAAAGCACACACACACACACACACACCACAGCTTAAAGCGCCTGGGGCATTCAGGGAGCCATTCCCAAGATGGGTCCTGATCCTGCCAGGAGGGGCTCCTGCTCCAGGCCAGGGCTCTTGAGGGGGGCTGGGTTGGGGCAGCAGAAGCTCCCCTGTCGAGGCGTTCCCAGGGGGCCTCAGTCTGGTGAGCTGTGGGCTTCTGGGCTGGGCAGGCATCGCGTCACTCAAGGTGGTCTGTCCAGCTCAAACAGACCACACTGCAATCTGTGTTGTGTGGGTCGCAGGGGACGCTCGTGGGCTGCAGGCCCTCAGGTGCTCCGAGGCCCCACGGGACAGGTGGGGCGGCTGGCTTTGCGTGCCCGTGGCCTCCCGTTTGTCAGCACAACAGACTCCAAAGCCCATGGTGCAGCCGTGCCCAGCCAGGGCGCTGAGTTACCTTCTCTCTTTGCCAGGATGAGTCGCGCCTGAAGGCCACGGCCATGGAGGTGAAGCCCATCAACTACCAGGAGTACTGCAAGAGGCTCATCCTGAACATCCGCAAGAACGCTGCCCAGCTGGACTGAGCCCCAGAGAGCCCCCACCTCCCGCCATGCCCCAGCCCTCGGGTCCCTCTCTCCTGCCACACACACACACACACACACACGGTCACTCTGCAGTAAAGGCCCAGCTGCCCTGAAGAAGCAGCGCCCATGGGTCCCTTCCTGGCCCCAGAAGAGCCCGGCTCCCAATGGGGGGGGGCAGCACAGGTGGCCTCTCCTCCCTTCCCCCCCCGTCCCAGGTGGCTGTTGGGGCTTGGCGTGGCAGGGGTGGGATTATTAATCCAAGTGGCATCTCTTCCGTCTGAGGAAGATCCCTCCTTTGCAGTTCAACAGAGGGGAAGTCAGATGGGCCTGATGTCAGTCAAAGTTGCCTCTTCTGCGGGAGGCTGATAAGCGCTGCGTCTTTGCCCCCTGGGGAATCCTGGCCACCAAAGAGCAGCACTTTAGTTTTTCGCCTCAATATGTTTTTGGGCTGCCAACTGCTGTGTCCTCTTTTTTTTCTTTTCTTTTTTTTTGTATTATTATGCAGAGAAAATTCTTATATTTTTCCTGATAGAAATAAATAAGGACGTGAGTCTGCAGGTGCCCATTCCTTCTTAATAAAGAGTGTTTAATTTTTTCTGTTTTCTGAGCCTCTTTATGCAAACGCCAGTAGTTTCTCATTACTGGAAAGCAATTAATTAGTTTCCATAATGGATTCTCACTTGGGGGAGACCTTCCCTTATTGTGCTGAAGCTCTGCTAAATGGGGGGGCAAGAGGGGGGCTCAGCCCAGGCTGACAGATGCCAAGAGGAGGGAGGCTCTGTTTCGATGGTGACGGGGAGGAATCGGCCCAGCTCCGTCTGCCCAATACTGTGGGGAGAGGGGGCAGTCCAAAGGTTATCCTGAAACAATGGGGGGGGACTTCTCTGGGTGACCCTTGCCCTGGCCATTGTGCCCACCGGCTCCTGTGCTTGACTCTGACCCTGCTAAAAAAAAAAGTCAGCCGGAAACTTTGGGGCCTCCATGGCTAAGGGGGGGGGGTTTGAGGCTTCTGCCTTGGCCCTTCTGTCTCTTGCTTTCTGTGGGGGTCCTGAGCTGATTTGCATGTGGCACCTGGGGCCCTGTGGGATTTACACAGCGCCATATGAGAGCATCCCGCTGTGATCCGCACACAAAATCACCAGCTCTCTTCTGACACAGGGAGCCCTCACCCTCCCTCTGGGAGCGGTGGGTGGGGACCCCACTTTCCACCAGGCATTTCCACTCCCAGCACGGAGGCCCCGGGAACCGGCCAGAGCTGGTGCTGCCCACCGTGGGGCGCAGGTCCCCATCCCCCGGGGCCAACGTCACCCTGCAGCTCCCTGTCCCCCACTTCGGACGGTCTCTGGATGATATAAATATTATCGATCCGTGTATTTAATACACTAATGAAACGGACAGATATCGACAATGTAATTAATACACTCCAGGAAAGGGAGTGCCAGGGGAAAGCTGTATTGACCAGCTGCTGCCTGGCACCCTGCCCAGCCCGGCTGCCTCGCTTGCAAGGGGGGGGCTTCCCTGCTCCAAGGGCCCGGCGCCTTCGGGGGAGCGGCGGGGGGCTCCCCTCCTGCCCGTGCCGGGGTTCGGGCTCCCCCGGCTGCGGGGCGGGGTGAGCAGCGCTCTTTCTGGGCGGGGAGGCAACGGCGATTCTGCTGCCCCGAAACGGGAGACCGAAGCCCGCGGAGTCCCGCGGAGGATGCCCGGTTCCCCAAGGCCGCTCGGGGGATTCTCGCGAGGGGAGCCGCTTTCCTCCCTGGAAGGGCCCCCCTTTGCCCGGGCTGCCCCGAGCCAGAGCGAGCCTTGGCGGGGAGGGGCTGCCATGGCGACGACGGGAACTTCCGCAGCCACCGCCCTGCCCCCCCCCGAGACTGGGCCGTCACTTCGCGAAGGGGAAGGGGGGGCGGAACTTGGGACGCCGGTTCCCGCCGTCCGGGGCCCCCGCAGCTCCCCCCCGCCCCCCTCATCCCGCTTAGGGCGCCCCTCCGCGGTCTCAGCGCCAAGGCCAGCCCCGAGGCGGGCGCGGGGTCCCCCGGAGGCGTCGGGCGCCCGAGGGCGGAGGAGCTTCCCCGGCCGCGCCGCCTCTTGCCCCGAGCCTCCCGCGGGGCCTGGAGCGGGGCCGTGTTCCTTCGCGGAGGCCGAGAGGCTCGACAGCCGAGGCGGGGCCAGCGCGCGGGGGTCTCGGTCCTCGCCTGTCGCGGCGGCTAATGAGGCCATCCGTCTCCCTAAAGCTTCCCATTAAAAGAGGCCGCCAATATCTCCCTAATAGAAAGTATCAATTTTGTGCGTGTTGCATTATGCCCTATTTTACGGCATCCCATTAAAATGATAAACGGCCCCGGAAGGAGGGGGGATTTAGTGGCTGGCGGGGGCGCCGATGGGGGTTCTGGTAGCCGCCAGGCGTTCCCCCCCCCCCGGGCTGCCTCTGAGCCCCGTGGAAGCCGCGCCCTCGGGGGGCTCCCCGCTCTCCGGGGCGGCAAAGGGGCCTGGCGGGCGACTGGGACCGAGTCCGGGCGAGGGCGAAGCCAGCGGCTCTTCTGGGCGCGCCCCGACTACCTGGAGCCCCGCTCGGTCCAGCTGGGCTGCCCGCGTCCCCGGCCTGGGCCTCTGATTGTTTAATTCCGGAATGAGGTGCGCCGCCCCAAATTATGCACAACCCCCCTCTGCCCCCCCAGCCGGGCAACCGGACAGTCCGAGCCCGCCGCCCTCCCCTTGAGATTCGGCGCCCCCCCCACTGACGCGGCCTGTGCCCGTCGGGCCCTGGGAATAGCAGCGGCGGCGGCCAACGAGCGGAGTCAGTTTGGGAGCGCTGCGGGACGAACAGCGGCCGGCTGGCCCCGAACAGACGCGACTCGCCTGGGCTCAGCCTCCGCCGGGCCCCATGAGAAGGAGGCAACCCCGCGGTGAAGGAGGAAGCGCACTGGTGATGTTGCCTAGATTGGTAATGAAACGCCTGCAAGAAAACCACCAAGCTCGGAGAGCACCAAGGAGCCCCCACAGCTTTCTGGGTGGAAGAGCACCTGTGCACCTGCAGACCCACCTGCCTGGGCAGAGGCCGCCCTCCCTCCCTTTCGTGACTGGGCATCCCTTCCTTCCTTCCCTCCCACCCAGCCAGGGTCAAGACTGGGGCCGGAGGGGGCTGTGGGCCAGGTGACCGGCTGCCCCCAACCCGGTGGCTATGGAGTCACAGAAGACCACCTTGGACCAGGCCCACAGCCTCTGTGTCCCCTTCCCCAGTGGACGCGGGGAGATGCCCGGCCTTCCTGCTCTCTGAGGAGGCCTGAAGGAGGAACGCAGTGGCCCTGATGCAGCAGCGGGGGGGGGGGTCACCTCTGGACTGTCTGTTCAGGTGACTGGTTGCTACAAGGCCAGGCCAGCCCCCCCGCCCCCGTAGATCAGCCTAGCTTCTTTCTAACTATTGCCATCTGATTGCAGCTATGGTAGGACGACTGCCCTTACCTGCCAGCCCCCCCAATGGAACACCCTGAGCCCTCCCCCTTCCCCTCCCCCTCTTTCCTGGCTTTCCATCAAGTTCCAAAGACCCGGCTTTCCTCCCCAGCACCGGGATAAGATGAGATGACTGAAAACCAGAAGTATGACTTGGTGCCATTTTTTTTAATGTGTTTATTTTTGATAGTCTTAATATGGCTTTTGTCCTTTTGATTGGGAGGCGCCCAGAGTTGCGCAGCTAGATAAATGTTTGAAATAAATGAACAAATGTTTGGGGGCCACCCGAAACATCCGGAGGAGACCAGGTGCTTTACCAGACACCCAGCTGACCTGACTCAGAAGAACTGGAGGCCAAATTGTCACACACACACACACACACACACGCACACACACACACACACACTGGGCTAGCTGTGTTACACAAATCCAAACAGTCATCTGTGGGCAATGCTGGTCCTCCAAGGAAACGAGACGGAGGTGTAGAGGGGCTGAAATACAGGATGCCCAGGAGAAAACAGAGCAGAGCACCTGTGTGAATATGAACACGCAGATCCCCTTTGTGCTGTGTCCTTTGGGGGTTATCCAAAGCCCAGAAAAAGCTTCATTTATTTAGTTTCTCGCTTTTATTCATTTCACATTCACTCAGCACCCATTCTTTTTATTCATTTTTTTCTTTTCTTTGACAATGGGTGTATTTTTTATCTTTGTGGTTTTTTCCCCCATTTCTCTGTCACTATTTAAAAAGCACCCCTTCGTGACCCTTTCTCTGGGCCAAGAGGCGGAGGGTAAAGCTCCCTGCATCTGGCAGAAAAACCTAAAAATCATAGGAGGAAGGCAACATGGCTGACAAAACCAATCCGAGAGTCCTTGTCGGTCTAATCAGACCCAGCAATGGGACAAAACTGCTAAAAAGGCCAAAAGTATTTTGAGTTGCATTAATAGGAGAATCTAGAGAACGGAAGTCCCCGTTTCCCTCCATTCTGCACTGGGCAGACCCCATTTGTTGGCTAGTTCTGGGCACCCCACTTTAAAACAGCGCGTAACAACTGGAGCAAATTCAAAGGAAGGTTCCCCAGAGGGCCAAGGGTCTGCAAACAAAGTCCTTACAGAGGAAAAATGAAATTGTCTGGGTATGTCTAGTCTGCAGACCCAGGGGAGATGCCATAGCAGCCTTCAAACTTTTAAAGGACTGTCATCCGGGGGGGGGCAGTGGGCTTATTCTGGGCCGCCCCAGAGGGTGGAAGCAGAGCCAGAGGGGTGAAGCCCATGAGGCAGGAGGTCCCAGCTGGATCCTAGGAGGGTCTTCTTGGCTGCAGGAGGTGTGGGCCAGGCAACCATGGGGGGGAGGAATGATAGAATTCCCTTCACAAGAAGTTTTCAAATAGGTATTTGAAAGGCTTCAGCAGATCCTGCTCTGAGCAGGAGTTGATCTCGATCAGGGCTCTCCAAGCTTGCCATCTTTAAGTCCTGTGGACTTCAATTCCCAGAATTTCCCAGCCAGTCATGAACGATAGAATTGGAAGGGATTAGAAGGGTCCCCTTGTACGGGATTTCTCAACCTGGGCAACTTTTAAGACTTGTGGACTTCAATTCCCATGCTGAAGATCCACAAGTTTGGAGATCCCTGGTCTAAATGAAGTCCCCTCTAAACCTATGATTCTAGAACAAGCCATCATGAGCTGCCAGTTCTGCCTAACTGCTCTGAATCAGCCACAGTTCAGCAGAACTCAAACCTAGAGGAAGTGCAGGGTGGCTTTGCAGGATAAAGAGAGCAAAGCTGGAGTCTCCCCCCCACACCATTAGCTTCCCCCCTCCTCCCCCCAGGCCCAGCCCTTCCCCTCTCCCTCCCTCCCTCCCCAGACCCCAAAACATCCTTGGTCTGGAACCTTTTCCAAAATCAAACATCCCTGTTTCCTTGTCTCTGCAGACCAAACATTCAAAACTCCGATGATTTTGGAGTTCAGCTGTGACCCCTGAAGCCAGCGGGGGAGTATGTGGAATATCTCCCAGGTCAGTAGGGTGTTGTTTTGTTGTTGTTGTTCCACTCACTCTCCCCTGGAAAGAGTGAGCATAAGTACACTCCACAACACAGCTGTTTTCACTCTTTGACGAAGATTAATTCCTGACCAGATGTCTGTAGTAGAAAAAATAAACCTACTAAACAAAATGCAGAGTGCAAGCCCCACAACTCCCCGCCCCCCCAGTCTTCTGGATATGGCCGAGGCCCACCGGGTTCCTCTTTCTGCCTAATCCCATCAGACCCTCCTGACCCCCAACGAAGCCCTCTGCCATCCTGTCTAGCCCTAGAGAAGCCCCACTGCCCCCCCTGGAAGACCCATTTTGTCTAAAAATGGAAATATTTCCAAGAAACAAAGAGGACCTTCCCATCTTCCCCAGAACTGGCCAGCCACCTGGATCTGGGAGACTTCCTGCCTTGTGGCCCCCAAATACTACAAGACCCTTCATTTTCCCCTCAAGTGGGGTCCTCCTCTCTCGTAAGGCAGGCACCCCAGGATCACTACGATAAACAGAGCCCCCCTCCCGAGCAGCGCTTCTTCCTGACCATTATAAAGTTTTTACAAAACACTCCCCCACCTGTTTCACCCCCTCCGGGAAAGGCTGTTTCACCCCTTGGTCTTCGCCCACTGCAACCAAAGACGGGCTCAGCAGGCGCCAGTCTGACTTCTGGCCACGGGGTCACTCCTTTGCCCTTGCGCAATTTTTTCCCCAGACCTCGTTTATTCTGAGCGTTGCACAATTTTTCTCCAAACTGTTCCCTGGTTTTCCTTCCATTTGTGAAAACATAAAATGCAACTAGTTCCAACCTCTGGATTGCTCCTTCTGGATGAACAGCCCAGGTGAGACCAATTCTGACGTGTGTTTTATTCCTTCTCTGCGCATCTCGGGAGCTTCTTCCACCTCCACCCGAAGCCATTTTTTTTACTCTTCAGCCCTCTCCCTCCTGGGCACTCTCATCCACACAGCTGGCTCCTGTTGCCAGTCGAACTCGGCACTCCTTGCCAAGCCACGTCTCCCGTTCTGGCTGGTCCAGGCAAGGCCCACTCTGGCATGTTCCCTGGGCAAGGGTCCCCCCCCCCGCGGACCAGGAGGGCTCCTGAATGCCACCTGAGAAGGTGAGGATCTCGCCTGCTGCCAGCTGTGCCAGGCTGGGCTGGCAACTGATTGAGCTGAAAGCCCCCCCCCCGCTGAAAACTGCTTCCAGCTGTTGTGCCCCCCCTTCTCCATCCCCTCAGGATGATGGTAGCAGCAGGACCTGCCTTTCACCTTCCCCACACAGATGTGCAGGCCTTGCCTAGCCCCCCCCCCGTACCTCAAGGGGAAATACACACCTGGGAAGAGGCACAGTCAGTCCCCGTTAATGGCTTCATTAAACCATGGTTTATTGACAGAGCCAGCTAGCGGGGTTCACATATAATCTTTCGCAGACCAAAACCAAAGTATATGCTAGCTTAATGTGATGCTGGCCCGCATTTCCCAAGTTCATAATAAACACAATCTCTATTTGGATGGATGAGGACTAGAGGCTTGTTTTCCTTCACGGAGAAGAACATCTTTTAGTGACAGAGTCTCTGGGGTCACATGGATGGTGCAGTTCTCACTCTCTGGCCAGGTTGGGGAAAGATCCTCTTGCCCCGTCTGCTGGCATAAACCGGTTCTCCTGCTCCTGAGGTGAGTGATTCGCACCCGGGGGAAAGCCCGCTAGAGGCCTCTCTGCTGATCACAGCTCCCTGCTCAGGGTTCAGGGGCTGGGCCAGTCCTGGGGACAAGGCTGTCCGGTCTCAGCTGCTGCTGGGCTCCTCACAGGGCCCAGTGGACACCGTGTGGGTCTCGGGAGAACAGCCCTCCAACTTGGCATACAAAGGTGGGGCCCAGAGAGTGGGAGGTGGGGCAAGGGCCCAAGACCCCGGGGGGGGTCCTCAAACTAAGAGAGGAGGCCCAAGTATGCAGACCAACTGAAAGGGGAGGGGCATCCCATGCTACCTCTGCCTCCCCCTGGCATCTGAACCCACCCACCTCAGGGACCCCTACTCCTTTATGTGCTCCCCTGAAGCTGAAGTCCCACAAAGTGACCCCCAGCCAGAGCTCACCCTCCCTCCCTCCCTGCCTGCCCCAATTCCAGACTGGTCTGGGAAAGAGCCAGCCACTGCTGCAGAGCCCTCCCCCCCAGCCCAGTGGGTTGCCCCCCTTGCTCACTCTGCCCCAGGGGGTGGGTGGGAGATAGGCTTCCAGTCTGGGACCCCCAAGGTCTTTTCTCCCCAGCTTCCTCTGCTCCCTTGCTGCTGCATTTGTGGTGTTGTGTATGTGGCTGGCTGGCCCACTGTATGATGTAAACAAAGCATGTTGCCCCCTCTCTCCCCCACCCCATGTGGAAACAGATGGGCTGAAGCTGCTGGAAGGACGAAAGCCCCCCCCCCCCCTCACTGGCTTCACAGGCAGGATGGGAGCCCTGGAGGCAGCAGCTGTAGTTGCTTCAGGCAGATGCTTTATTCCCTCTGGTGGGGAGGGTCCTGCTTGCCTAGGGGAGGGGCATTGGGAAACATCCAATGCTACGAGAAAGGGTGGGAGGGTCTCAGAGGAGGTGTGCAAGACCGGCCTGACCCCTCCCCCAAGTGGGACATGGCTTGGCTTGGCCTGCCTGTGGCTCTGTGCTGCTGCCCAGCAGCCGCCAATTCAAAGGCTCCTGCTCCTGCTGCCCCCCCCCTTAGTCACCAACCAAGAATAGCCCCCAGACCAACATTCCTAATGGCCTCCAGCCACTCTCAGGCAGGACCAGCCCTCAACACCCCCCCCCAGAAGCCCAAGACCCTCCTCCTCCTCCCAGAATGCAGATTGTGACTAATGTTCAGATTTCCCAAAGAGTCCCTTCCTCCCCCTCCCCACGACTTTTGACCCCAAGAGATGGTCACATACTCCTTGCACAGGAGGGAGAAGCACAGAGACCATTTTGTGCTGGGGGGCTCCCACCTCTCCCCCGTCCACGGGACAGCCAGTCACCGAAGCAGGTCCCCTGACACCCACAAACCCCCATTTCCGCCCCTCGTCTGTCCTGAGCCCCGGGCTTCATCCTGCCACCTGTGCGCATCACTCAAGACACGTTTGGCCACGGAGGACGGGGACCTGTGCACGGTTTTACTTTATGCGTGAACACAGAGGTTACAAAAGAACGGACACAACCTTCAGTCCGGAAGTTTTTCGAGATTCCCCCTCTACCCAACCAGCCCGCCCGGCTTTCTGTGGGCCCGGAGGGCCTGGCTGGCAGCTGGTCTTTCCTGCCAGGGGTGAAGATGTATCCTGAGCAAAGGGGGAGATGGGGGTCCTCCCGCCCATTGGAAGCCCCGGCCTGCTGACGTTGAAACAGCAGCTGGCGTCCTTCCGGCTGGTCAAGGGGGGAGGCTGGGGCAGCTGCAGCTGCGCTCTTCTCTGGGGTCTCCAGGCCAAAAATGGACAAGCCAGGAAGGGGCAGAGCCAGCTCAGGAAGAGCCCCTCCAGGCCCGGCTGGGGATGGGCAGGGATGTCCTTGCCTTTCTGGGGCACCTGGTGGGGCCTGGCAGGACTCCTAATCACCCACGCCATTCGCAGCCAGGGCGCAGGGCAGTCCCAACCCAGCAATCCCACGCTTGGTTAGCCACGGATGTTAGCCGGCAGGGCTGGGGGGAGGCCCAGTGGCAGGGCCCGCCCCACACGGCAAGCCCTCCCTGGAGGGGAAAAGAGGGCGTCCCGGTGCTCAAGAGCGGAGGGTCAGCGTGGCTCCAGGTAGGCCAGGTCAGCAGAAGATCACCACCCAGGCCAGGGTCCAGAGCAGAATGGCACCCGGGAGGGTCAGCACAGCCCGGCCCCCAGAGCTCCGACCCCCTCCCGCAGCCTGCTGGACCCCGCTGGGGGGCAGCACAGGGGGCCGGTGGCACTTGCCCTTCGGCTTGGGCAGCAGGCCCAGGTTGGGCTTGTGCTTGAAGTCCTGCCCCTCCTCGGCGCTCTTCCAGGGGCCCAGGGAGGCTGGCCCGCTGCTCCGGTTGCGGCTCTTGGTGCAGTTCTTGAGGCTCTTCCGGGGCCCGGGGCGCTGCCCAGACTGGATGCCATGGCCCCCTTCTGTGGGAGAGAGGAGGGGCGGGTGGTCCCTGGGGGGCAGCCGGGGCCCGTGGGTCTGGTGCAGGGACTCCGAGGCCGAGCAGCCCCGGAAGGTGTCGGCCGGCAGCGCCTTCAGGTCCCGGCCGTGGAGGGGCTGGGGGCCCTCGCAGAGGACGGAGGAGCTGGAGCCCCGGAAGCGGCGCAGCCAGTCCCAGAGCGAGCGGGCCCGGCAGCCGCAGCTCCAGGGGTTCCCGTTGAGGCGCAGGTACTCCAGGGCGGCCAGGGGCGCCAGGGCCTCGCCCGGCAGCTCCGAGAGGCTGTTGTTGAAGAGGAAGAGCAGGGTCAGCTGGCGCAGGTCGTGGAAGGCCAGCCGGTGGACGCTCTGCAGACGGTTCTGGTGCAGCAGCAGCCGGTCCAGGCCGACCAGGCCCCGGAAGGAGGCCGGCTGGAGGCTCCGGAGCCGGTTGCCGTGCAGGAAGAGGTGGCTCAGGTTGGCCAGATCCACAAAGAGGTCCTCCTGCAGGTAGTCCAGCTGGTTGTCCTGCAGGTAGAGGTACTGCAGGCTGTGCAGGCCCCGGAAGAGCCCGTCGGGCAGGGAGCTCAGGCCGCACTTGTACAGGTGCAGCGCATGGAGGTGGGCCAGCCCCTGGAAGGTGTCGGCCGCCAGCTCCCGCAGGTGCCGGTTGTCGCCCAGGTCCAGCTCCTCCAGGCGGGCGAAACCACGGAAGGCCAGGGGATCGACGAAGGTGAGGTTGTTGGAGTAGACCCAGAGGGTGACGGTGGAGGGGCTGAAGTGGCCCCGCAGCAGCAGCGAGATCTGGTTGTTCTGCAGGAAGATGCGCTCGCTGTCCGCCGGGATCCCCTCCGGAATGGTCAGGAAGCGGTGCGACTGGCAGCTGACCGTCATGGGCGACGGGTAGCAGACACAGTCGACGGGGCAGCCCTCGGAGGCTGGGATGGCCAAACCCAGCAGGACCAGGCACAGCTCCAGGCTTCGTCCTGCAAGGAGCAGAAAAGGGGCAGAGGGTGAGTGGAGCCCAGGGACCCCCCTGCCCCCCCAGGCCCTGCTGGCCCCCTCCCTGTCCTGAAAGGGGAGTGCTGGGCTGCCCCTCGTCCAGGCCAACCGGCCTCCCCTGTGCCCTAAAGCCAGCCAGAGCACCTCCCAATCCCAGGGTGGATCAAGGCCGGATCCTGGTAGCCCTTGCGGAAGATTTGTGCGCGCGTGTGTGTGTTTGTGTTTCTCCCTGGCCATCAGGAAGGAACCTGTACTAGCCCCACCCCCTGCTCTCTTCTGGCCTCTTGGGCATTTGTTCCTCCCGAGACCAGCAGCCAGGTCAACACTGCCCCATTAGCCAGCTATGGTGCCCCCCCAAGGGAGACCCCCCACTCCTCCATCCCGCACCAGCTGCCACCCTCCCAGACTGTCTCCCGGGCATCCTATTCCCGAATTCTGCGGAAGAAGAGCAGGATCAAGGCCAACCAGCCCCCCCCCTATCTATTATTTATTCTCTGAAATATTAATGCCCTGCCCTTTGCCAAGTGGCACCAAGGTTGCTATAGCATCCAACGGCAGAAGACCTTTAATTGCCATTTGCTCTTTAATCCCCCCATCAAATATTCACTTACATTGGGAGCACAAGAGCTGGGGGGTGGGGGGCATACCACTGGCCTCCTCCGCTGCGCCCTAAGATCAGCCCTCCCCCCCCCCCGCTTATCTGGGGTGGGAAGGCAAATGTGGAGGGAACTGGTAAGGAAGCCCCGAGGTTGCACCTTGTGTTGACCCCAAGGCTGGGACTACAAAGCCCAGAATGCCAGGCAGCGTGGCTTCTTGCTTTTTTGGGGGGGGGGAGAAAACATAATAATAATAATAAAGTTGGAAGGGAGTCATCGAGTCCAACCCCCTGCTCAGGCAGGAAACCCTAGACCATTTCAGACAAATGGCTGTCCCGTCTCTTCTTAAAAATTTTCAGTGTTGGAGCATTCACGGCTTCTGGAGGCAGGTGGTTCCACTGTTTAATTGTTCTCACTGTCAGGAAATATATGCTTGCTTTGGACTCGGTATCTGGCAAATCCCCCCTTTGTTTAACCCTGCAGACTCCGCACCGCCGGGCTGGGGTCCCCGTCCCTGCAAAACCCCGGCGGGGTCGTCGTCGTCCTCCTCCTCCCTCGACAGGCTGCAGCGGGGAGGGGGGCTCTCTGCGCTGCCTCTTCCCTGCACGGCCTCTCGGCTGCGCTCGGGAGACGACCGGCCTCGGAGTCGCGAGGACAGCGCGGGACCCCCGCCGCCTCGCCGCTCCCGCCACGGAGGCCCGCCAGGGACGGCCGCGCTCCGCCCTTTCAGCCGAGCGGCGGCTCAGGTGGGCAGCGCAGCGGCAGGGCAGGGACCCGGGTCGTGCGAAGGCGGACACGGACTCCTTGGGGGGAGGCCCCGCCCAGGGAGGGGGTCGTCCCGCCCGGCCGCCGCCGGAAAAGAAGCGGCTCTCGCGGCTCCACAGGGCGGACGCCGGGTAGCCCTGGCCCAGCGGCTCCCGTCGGGCCGGCCCCGCGTAGCCCTTCCCCGGGCAGCCGGGGGGCGCCCGGAGCTTCTGGGGCCCGGCCGTGGAGACGAGCCCCGCCCTCCGCCCTCCGCCCGGGCGGCATCTCCGCGGGACCGGCGCCCGAAGCCCCGCGGCCTCGTTTGCTGCCCCGCGTCTTTCTCCTCGCCTCCCTCCCTCGCCCGGCCCCGGCAGGGCAGCCTTTCTCCGGGAAGAGCCCGCGGGGCTGTGGCCGCTTGGGTAGACCCCGCGCTCTCTCGGCGGGTCCGAGTCAAAGGGCGGAAGGTTTGGGCGCCCTCGGGGTACCCCTTCCAGGCAGTTCCAGACAGACGAAGAAGGGGGGGAGAGGTGGAGGCTGCCGGTGATCTATTCTGGAGCGGCCCCGTCTGCGGGGGGGGGGAAGGCTTGGGTTGGAGGGGCCGGCACCCAAGAGAGTCAGCAGGGCCAGACCAGCCCTTCCTGCTCGAGACACGCACACACCCCGACGTGGTTTCCCCACGTTTCTCTGGGCGGGCGGGCGGGGGCGTTAGCCGGCTTCTGAGTGAAAGGAAGAAGGAAGGCTAAACTTCCACGGATGCTTTGACTGGAAGAAACTCCCTAACAGGGAGCAGAGTTATCCCGTGGAACGGACGTTGCCTCCGGAAGGAGCTTTCTAAGAAGAGGCTGCACAGCCACTGTCTGAAACGTCTAGGCTTCTCCTGACTGGGGGGGGGGGCTGGGCTAGAAGACCGCCAAGCTCCCTTTCAGCTCTGATTCTCTGATTCTGAAGTGTCTGGGATAAAAGTTTGGAGAATAAGGCAGTCCTGATGTTGCCTGGGGGGGGGGCTGGAAGGCAGACCTCCTCCTCCCCCCCTGCCCCCCCATTCCTCAGGAAAGCAGGCCAGGCAGGTCTATGAACAGGTGCAGTGCCCCCCCCCCCCTTGCCTGAGTGGGCTACCCTGCCCGGCTTTGACACCAGGGCCTGGCGCAGAGGGAGGAGGGGCTGGCTCCCCCCCCAGGCTGGCTGAAACCACACAGCCAGTGTGGTGGCACAGGGTGGGCATCACGGACAGCCAGCAGACCAGCTGTTTGCTATTAGACTTTCTGATGGAGCGACAGCTGTTCCCCGTCCTCCAGTAATAGCCGGGCCAGTCTGGAGCATAACAATCATGACGGATAATTTGGTCTGTGCCCAATTTGGCTAGTCAAGCTGTGGCTTAATAGCCGTTCTGACCCCCCAAGGCTGGCACTGGGCAGCCTCAGGCTTTTGCTGCGGAGGACAGGATGCTCCTCTTTGCAACTTGCACAGCCCACCGGGAACCCAGAGACCTTAGTTGGAAGGAGAGGGGCTGGAAGGGGCTCCCCTTGGCCAGATGAGGTGGCCGCCCATCCGCTCCTCGTGAGCAGGGGAGGCTTCCCGCTTGCACCAGGCATGGGCAGGTGGGTGTGAGCAGAGGACGACCAGCCCAGTGACACCACTGCGGACCCCTTGAGAGGCCTCGGGGGTCTCCGCTCAGACCCTGGTGGATCAGAAGACGATGTGCCCCCTTGACTCACCCCCATTTCACGGGAAATGGGGCTGGCAAACCAGTCGGTGAGGAAAGAGCCAGGCCAGGGCAAGCCCCTCGGAACCTACGCCACCGGCTTCCTACCCTCCATGGTTATTCCCCAAAAGGTCCGGGAAGCTTGGCTCGGAAGGGCACGCAGGGCCTTCTCCAGCCAAAACTGACCTCAAGGCTCCCTGGAGATTTGGCCTTTAGGAAGCCGGTGCAGGGAACAGGGGGCACCCCGAGAGCCCGGTTTTAGGGGTCCTGAGTTACTGAAGTTAGGATTTGGCACATGGTTTTATTTTCATTGCTGCTGTGGATGTTTTAATTTAAATGCCTTCTTTTTTTGTTGCTCTGAACGACTGTAACCTGCCCGGAGTCTGCTTGGGCCCTGGTGGGCATAAATTTCATGCATATAAAGAAAGAGATGAAGGAGGAAGTCAGCCTGTTTGTCCCAGCAGCCCCCAGGAGAGGATTTATTGAGGAAGAGGCTGCAGGAAAGAGAATGCAGACAGCTCTTCTTGCCAGAGTGGGGAGAAGTTAAGGGAGGGGTTCTTCCCACCCCTGGTCCAGCCCCTCTCAGCAAGCGGGCGGGGAGGGGAGGCCATTGTTAAGGGCACAGGGGAGCCCCCCTGCTCCCCCACCTCTCAGCTCGCCACTTATTCCAATGTTAAAGCCTGCCATAAATCTGAAGTGTAATAATAGGGAAAATCAATACTGGACAGGCTGAATGTTGCAGGCCGCCTGGCCCAGGGGCTCCCCAGGGCCCGTTCCCTAAGCTAGACAAATGAGTGCCAGGGGAGCCGCTCCAGGTGCCCAACCTGCGGGGGGGGGGGAGAAGCTCTTTTCCATCCTTTCCCTTGCAGAAAGCCCAGCCCTCCTTGCCTGGGCAATAGAAGGGCCTTGCGTGGCTGTGGAGGACCAAGGGGGGGTCTTCCAGAATCCTCCCCCTCCCAGGAATATGCTTACTGGTTGGGGGAGGCTGGGAACAGTTGGGGTGCCCGATCCTTGCCTGGTCACTGCAGCCCAACGGCTTGGGGGGGGTCACACAAAGGGCTTTTCCCTGAGTGAGGGTCTCTCAGGGCAGCAAGGCCAGAGCCAACCTAGGGGGCAGCCCCTGGTGCCCTCAGGGACAGGGAGGGGCAGGACCCACAGACAACAGAGGTGAGATGGAAAGAGACGGTCTGGCCGCCACTGAAGCTGCTCAGGGTCCTGACCTTCTGAGCCTTCCTTGGCTCCTGGGGGGCTCCTCTTGGGGGGAGGCTGGCATTTTCTGCCTCAAGGGGACCTTGTGGTCAGGACTGGATGCCAGCCTCCCAGTGCTGGCCCAAGGAAGCCCAGGGTCGACCCTCCCGGGGGCTCCTAGGAGATTTGGCCAGAGGGGCCCTGGCCTGCTGAGTAAGTGGCCCTGCTCGGCTGGCCAGGGTTCTGCCCCCCCCCAGCCACCGGGGCAAAGGGGGGCCCAGCAAGGCCCTAGGGGCAACGAATGCCTGCAAGGGGTTGCCCTGTGTAGGGAGGGGCACAGTAAGGGCAGCTCAAAGCTGCCAGCTTGCCCTGTTTTATCTGGACAGCTGCTTTCTAAGGCTACTCAACGTCACGATGACTCTGGGTGGGAAGCAGCATTAAAATGAAAACACCACAAATGGAAAATGGTGGTAATTCCCAAAAGAGCAGAACAAGCACCACCCTACAAGGCACCCCTCGCCCCACTTCCCTGGGGGGCAAAGCCTGGCTGTAAGGGCCCCTTTAAACAAGATCACCCGAATTTCTGAGGGGTGATGACCTCACACATCAGGGCCCTGGGAGCCCCCTCTGCCAACACCAACTGGATCCGGCCACAGAGGAAGGAGGGGGACCGTTGTGACGCAGCGCCCCCCCTCCCATAATCCCCACAGGTAGCACAGAAGCCTCCCTTGATGACGGACTTGAAATCCCCGAGAGATCAAAAGAGCCCCATGTTGCCCCACCCCCACCCCAGTTCTGCCAAACACCGTCGGTGCCCCCTCTGAATCGCCCCCCCCCGATCTGAAGCCCAAACGAGAAGGGCCACGAGGCAGGGATCCGTGTCTCCCAGGGCTCCCTTCAAGGGTGGCCTGGCACCTCGTGGCCTGGTTTGTGGGAATGGCCTCTGGGAGACAGGAGGGGAGGCCCACAGCTGGACGGGACCCTCAGCGGACGAGGGATCGCTCAGGGAAGCCCTCCCGAAGGGACCCTCCCAGAGGGGAAGGGGAAATCCTTTCAGTCTTGCAAAATCCTGCTAATTGCGGGGAAGACGGAGCCAGTGCTTGGCGTTCTGCTTCTTGTCTGGACCGCCCCAAAGGGCCAACACGCCCTCTCAATGGCTTCCCTAGAGAAGGGAGGCGGGCAATGGACCCAATTATCCAGGATCATTTGGTCTAGTGACGGCTTCTCCGGGAGGCCATGCAGCACGACAAATCAGGCAAAAATGTCCCCCTTCAACAACGGAGCTACTGCTGCCTGGAGCCACCCACAGCCCCCTCCTGAGCCGCCTCCACAAGTCAGGAGTGAGTGGAGGTCTATAAATGCGGTCAGCTGACGGTCCGGAGGATGCTGCCCACTCCCTCAAAGCCACCTGGCCAGATGACGGCTCCATCACCCCCCAGGTGCAAATTCAAGCAGCTCCGCCTGCCAGGTGCCTGGCACATTCTCCCCACCAGCCCTGCTCCTGGCCCCGGACCCCTCCCCACTCAGCAAAGACTGGTCACTTTGAAAGGGCCACCGGGTGACCATCAGCCCACATAACAGCAGCAGAAAGAAAGAACCCAGGTCGGCCTTCATCCCTCCCAGGGACCTTCACCCACTCAGTTCAAGGCGCTCTGTGTACCTCGAGGGCCCCCCAAACTCTTTCTGCAGCCCTGGGGTGGCTCATTCCAAGAGGCCCCTGAGGGGGGAGGAGGGGCAGCACCAGCCAGAAGCCACCGGAGGGCAATCAGCTCTGGCACTGACAGCGATGCCCTCTGCTCCCCGATGGCGTTGCAACTGCCCTGAGACAAGCAGGTGTGGCGTGTGACACCTGGCACGTGGCGAGCCCCGGGTGACTTGGGGCAGGCCCACGGTTGCCATGGTGGCCCTGCGAGCGTGAGTGGCTGCCGCTGCCACTCCCAACGCTTTGCTACCCTTGTTTACCTGCCAAGGCAGATGGCCTCTCGCTGCCAGGGAGGCCCTGGCAGAAGCAAACGGAGCGAGCGCCAAGCTGCCTCCCGAGAGGGCAGCGGCCAGGAGGGACCGGCCTCGGCGGGCAAAGGCAGGCGGGCGGTTTCTGTGCCCAGGATCCCCCGTCCTGGGGATCAGCTGAGGGGACGGGGGAGGGGCAGCTGCTGTAGCTCCCAGGGCTGGGCTGGGGGAGCACAAATGTCCTTCAAGCCCCCCTTCCCCCACGTGCATAGAGCCCTGTGCTCGGACACCTGACCTGAGGTGCCTTTCAGCTGTGTGACTCCCCTTCCCCCCACAGCCCGGGAGGGAGGGGGGGCTGCAGCCTGAAAACCGAGCAGGCTGAAGGTCGTCAGAGAGTGAACCAGGCCCCTCCACCATCCCCCTCATCCCCCAAGGCTCCTTCTGCCCCTCCTTTGGGAGACAAGGGCCCGCCGTCACTCAAAAACATAGAAGGGGGTCTGGTGCCTGGCATCTCTCTCTTCCGTGCCTCTCCTACTCCCATCCTTCAAGGAAAAGGGGGGCCAGGACCCACCAGCTCCTGGGGAGCTTCAGCCTTCTTCTTTGTCTTGTGTGGAGGGCCTACTTTCCTGCCCTGCCCCCCCCCAATATGGGACCACAGCATCCGGCACCCTGGAGGGGATTCCTGCATGGCTACTTTCTGTGCCAGATTGGCACCCCTGGCTCCCTTCCCAGCCTTGAATGTAGCACATGCGACTTGCTCTCCCCCACCCTGGAGAGGCCCCCTCCCTCTTGGCCCCTCCAGCCTCAGAAGAGCCCTTAGCAGCCACAAGAGCCTCCTTCACTGCCTGCAGGTCCCTGGAGGAAGAGCTGCAGCCGGGCTGGCAAAGAAGTCCCCACCGCCCCACTGTTCACGGGCAGCGAGGTGTGTGTGTGTGTGTGTGTGTGTGTGCGCGCGCGTGCCGTGGTGCTCTATATCACTGGTGGCTGGGCAGGGGGGGGGGCGTCTTGGTAGACGTGCCAGAGGCTTCGCCCTGGAGCAGACAAGCCCCCCCCAGTCTCTGACCAAACCCGGAGGCTGGACCCGGCTTTGGCGGTGCGGGGGCGGGCGCGCGCGCGCTCCTTCTGCCCGAATCCTTGTGCCGCAGGCAGCTTCGGTCCCGGCCGCTGCTCGGCTCCAGCTCGGGGAAAGGCGGAGGGGGCTGCGGGGCTGGAGAGACCGGCGAGGCGCTGCTCATTAGAAGCCGAACGGCTGCTGGGCGCGGCTCGGGCCCCCTGGCCGGTCTCCAAAGGCGCCGCTGCCTTTGAAGCGCCCCGCGGGAGCTCCTTCCATCCCTCCCGGAGCGGCTGCCGGGGGGGGGGGCGATCAGGGCCGCCTGGACGGGACGGGTGGCGGGCGGGGGAGGCGGCCGGCCCACCCCGGACGGCTGCTGATAGCCTTGATCCCCACCGCAGCTTCTTTCTGGCCTTGTTTTCTGGGGAGCAGAGCAGTTGCCGCTGACCGGCGGGCGCATGAGCCACCAGCGTCAGTGGCAGTCTACCTCTCTGCCAGGGAGGACCTGATGCTGCCCTCATTCCCTGCAGGGGCAGCCAAAGGCATCTGGATGGCCAGAGGGAGCCAAAGCTGCTGGGCAAGGCCCTTCCGAGACCAGCCAGTGTGTGGGAGACCCGTCTTGGCCCTGCCAAGGGCACCACAATGCCGGCTGTGCCAGGCTCATCTGCTTTCAGCTGCTGTGCCAACAGGCCTGCTCCCAGGAGAAGAAGCTTGGGGTCAAGCCCCACACCACTTCCTGGTGGGCCTCTCAGTTCTTATGTGGCAGCCCTCTCCTCCCTGGGAGCAGCTGGGCTCGTGCCAACTTTCTGTGGGCTGGGTAGAAGGACAGTGAGATCACAGCACCTGCCTTGGGACCCCCCCCCACACACACTCCTGAGGACACTGCTGGGGGGGGAGTGGGGCAGGAGAAGGTGGGGCGGCCCAGGAAGAGGAGAGGCAGCAAGGCCTCACACGCCACCCTCTGCTGTTCGGGGGGGGGGGCAGGCGCTCCCCATCCTGGCATGTTTTGTCTCCTGCACCCTCTGCCCTATTCCCAAGCCGACCCCAACACACAGGCAAGATTTGCATTTCTGCAAGGGGGCGTCTAGTGAGCTGCAGGGGAGCCAGCAAGGCCAGGCCCCTCAGTCTAGCTGACAGCAAATTCACCTCCCCCCCGCCCCCCCACCTCCCAGTCCCCGTCTTCCCACACCCAAGAGGCTGGGAAAGGAGGAGGAGGAGCCAGCAGGAATGCAAAATAAAGAAGGTAAATTCAGTTTCTCTGCGCTCTTACAAGCTGGGGGGCTGTTTGGAGAGGAGCGCCCAGTTGCAGAAGCTGCAAAGCCTGGGAGGAGGGGAGGGAAGGGCCCCCATCCAGGATGACCCTTTGAACTGTGGGAGCTGCTGGTTGTAGCCAGGGCCAGGTTGCTGCCCTCTCTGAGAAAGGCCGGATCAGATGCCTGCCTGCCTGCCTGCCTGCCTACTACAGAGGGCTGAGGAGGGCGCTGAAAAGGTGGATGCCATCGTGCCCCCCCCTCGCTGGCAGCCAGAGCCCTCTAGGGCAGAGGACTCCGGCAGCCCCTCTGCCCACAGCCCCTCAGCCGAGGGAGGCGTCCCTGGCCCTCTGGATGGGGGGGGCAGGGGGGCAGCCTCTCTCAAAGCCACCATCAGATAAAAGAGGACTCAGTTGGGGCAGGAAGGTAATCTGAGAAAACAACCCACCCACCCCCCACGATAAAGGGGGGAGGGTTGCAACACTCTGTTTTGGTGTTGCAATGAAAGTGACCCTGACCGACATGGAGCCCTCCTGGATCGGAGTGGGGCAACTCGCCAGAGACCACTTGATGCGTGACAGTTCAATCATTAAATTTAATTATTTAAAATAATTTTAAAAATACTTTAATTTTTGTTATTCACGTTTCATTTTGTCCCTCCTTCGGCATCCTTTCTTCAATTACACTATTCTACCGTTTCTTCCGAATGCAGAACAACCCCAGGCGCGTAACACACTGACGGGACCCAGGAGGAACCTCCATGAAAAAGGGTGCCGTCCTGCACAAGGACCCCAACCCAGCCAGGGACCCCTTTGGCATTCCTGGTCCTCCCGGCAAAAGAGCTGGAGGGAAAGAGCGGCTGAAAAAGGAGCCTTTCTCTTCCAACCTCCGCAACCTCAATTGGGTCCAGGCGCCAGGCCAGCCCCCCCCCCCCACAGGGCCGCCTTGGCCAATGTTGAAGGGGGCAGCGAGGCTGTGAAGCCTCCCCAGCAGGGCCACTGGCACAAGGGCTGTGGGCACGTGTGGGTGCAACGCCACATCCAGGACGGTGATTTGGGGTGCGTTAATAGAAACCCCCCCTCCCAGCAAAGCATCCTGGCTTCACATCTGGCTGAAACAGAACCAGCACGCCCTGCCTGGCAAACTCTCCCTGGTGCTAGGCAACCTGGTCCCAGCTCAGCTGCCCAGAGTCGCCCGGTGGCAAATAAATCAAATAAATAAATCTATGTTCTACCAGCTTTGGCTTCCTTCTGCAACCCTCCCCCCCCCAACGGGGACGCAAACCGTGCCAGTTCCCCCTGCCAGGCATCAGAGACCCCCCTGCCAGCCCTTGAGATCTCCACCCCCACCCTGCTTGCCTGCGGCCGATGCAAACGCAGCCAGCCTGCTGGCCCTGGCAGTCCCCCCCCTCAGCCTGACCCCAGCCAGCCGCAGCGCCCATTAGGAGCCTCTAATCCAATCACCCAAGCAGGACAGTGAGAGTTGCAGGCAGCCGATCAATTTGACCCATTCAGACAGTCTGGTTCACACATAATGGAGTCAAGCGCCCGAGGGATGCTCCATTAGCCTCCGCCCTGGGAGCGGATGGCTCTGCCGTCCCCTGGAAGGACGAAGGAAAGGGGGAGGCAGGGGGCCTCCTCCACCACTGTGGGTGGGTGGGTGGGTGGCAGCAGGGCCAGGTCAGCCTGGGTGGGGGCAACGGGAGGGGGAGCTGGGGAGGGGCTAGCAAGGCACCTTTTGAATCCCATAGCAGAACCCTGCGCAGTAGGGCTAGTGGAAGCCGGGTGGCAACTGGTGAGAGAAAGAGGCAGGGGGGAGGGGGGAGGAAGAGCCTTGGTCAAGAGCCAGCCCTTAATGGTCCATTAGGGGCCTGGGAGGAGGTCAGTCAAATAGCCTTGCTCTCTGCTGGGGGGGGGGGCTACAGGAGCTCCAGAATCACCCCGTAGCGCAGTGTTTATGAACCTTGACAATTTTAAGGCATGTGGACTTCAACTCCCAGAATTCCACAGCCAGCATTGCTGTCTGTGGAATTCTGGGAGTTGAAATCCACATGCCTTAAAATTGTCAAGGTTCAGAAACACTGCGCGTAGCGGTTTGTTCACAAGACGCCAACACTCCCCCCCCATCCATTGCCCCCCCCCCCCGAGACCAAAGCCAAACTCCAGGCGTGGCCCTGGAACGCCCGGTCAAAGCCCGCCTGGCTGAGGCCCACAGCTGCATGGTGGCCACAGACTCCCTCACCACCTCTGCAGCTGCCCCAAGGGTGGCACAGTGTCCATGGGGGGGGGGGTTCCATGGCCAACAGAGACGGCCTCGAGCAAGCGGGCAGGGAAACGGGCAGAATTGGAGCACGCCCACCTTCTCCTTCGCGCCCAGCCTCACCCCAGTTACTGGAGTGGAGTCTCACCTTGGTTATTTGTGGGGCAGCACCCCGGGAGGCCTCTCCTCTCTTTGCCCAGCCCGCTGGCCCTCCACTCCAGGATCCTGCATTAAAGGCCAGCCCGGAAGTGTGTATGATAGGCGAAGAAGGCAAGAAGTGGATCACACAAGCGCCCCCTTGCCCGCTGAGACAGAGGGGGCAATGTGGCCCAGCCCTGGCCCAGGGTCCTCCTTCGGAGAAGAGGGGGGAGAGGGATCTGCAGGGGTTCCCTGGCTTGCAAGACAGCTTCCATCAAGCACGCCCAGTGTGAGCTTTATAGGACATTTGTTTTCACTGGAAAAGTGAGGGGGGGCTGTCTTTCTCTCCCACCTGACTTTTGCTTCACTGACCCCCTCCCCCAAGCACTGCACCCTCTTCAAATGGGGCCCTGATCCTTGCCAGTTCATCATCTGGGGAAGAAGGCCTGGGGAACAGCTGTAGGTTTGGGACACGTGAGGTCAGCCATCCCTGCCCCTGGCATAGCACAGCTGGTCAAGGAGCCCCCATGGCTGGGGACGAGGGGGCGACTAAGGGAGAGAAAGGCTCTGAGCTTTCACTTTAATCCAGGGGTGCCCAACCTTGGTAACTTTAAGACCTGTGGGCTCCAACTCCCAGAATTCCCAGCCAGTTGTGTCTACAGGTCTTACAGTTGCCGAGGTTGGGCACTTCTGCCCTAGGGTGATGCCACGGGGCCAAGATGAAATGAAGAGCTGTGGTAATGCCAGTACAATACTTTTTGCATTGTAAGAAAGTAGATTGAAGTAGAATTTTCTTCCTTTCCCCTCTTTTATTCTCTGTCTTTTTTCATATCTAATTTGTTAATTTGTATTATTTATTTTATTACATGTGCAATCTGTTTGAGTTGCTAGTTTTGTTATGTTTCTAATGAGTATTATTTAAGAAAATAAATAAACATGCTATAAAAAATTCAACAGTTTTCATTCATTTACAACATCCATTAAAACACTGTAAAAATTATAAGAAAGCAAATAATAAAATAACAGAAAGCAAAGGGAGCAATTAAAAGTTTGAAAACCAGTGCAGCTCTGATTAAAAAGGTTGATCTGTTTCTATCATTGATTGAGTGATCTGATTCGATTTGTACGGCTGCCCCCACAACTGTTGCATAGAAATGTTACAACACCCAGCCCCCCCATCTGGCCTGGGGCAGCCCACAAGTCCCCATCAAAAGCCCCAAAGGACCCCCCTAAAGGGCTAACAACTTGTAGCCTGACCCCCCCCAGGGGGAAAACAGCATTTAAGGGCCAGGCTGTCTGGGGGAAGGAGCCAAGAGGGTGGGTCTCCTGGAGCCCCTTAGGTGGAGGGGCCCAAAGCAGGCCAAAGGTGCTGCATCTCCTGGGATGGGCAGACACAATCCCTGCAGGGGGTCCCAGGAATAACTGGACCCTTCGCCAGGAAGGGCCTCCCAGAACTGCTCATGGGCATAGCAGTATTGAGCAGGTGCCACCCACCGCCTTTAAAAATGTTGCTGTCATTCTTCAACCTTAAGCAAAACTCTGCAAATTCTGTCCACTGTAGAGGGAGGGAGGAAAGGGAAGGGCAAAAAAGAGGAGGGGAGGAAAGGAGAGGGGAGGGGAGGCTATACAATCCCAGGATGGGAAATCGGTCTAGATGAGGCGCCTAAGCTGGACTCCCCCACCTACCAGTGGGTCTGAGGGTCTCCCCAAGGCCAGGTGCCAACCTGCCCCTCAAGCCTGTTCTGGCCACAAGCCCATGGCCAGCAGCGCCCCAGGCCCACAGCAAAGAGGAGCCCCTTCCCAACGCCCAGCACAGGCTCCCCCAGGGGGCCCTTCCAAGGGCCAGTTGCAGAGCCGCCCCCACTTGCTGCAGCAGACAAGGGAGATGCTGCAGAGCTGTGGGGCGAGGACTGCTGGTCCAGGCCTCTCGCACTGGGATTCCCCCCTCCCGGGGGCTCAGCCTGCAGGTGCCAGCTCTGCTCTGGCTGTTTGGGGGATAAGCAGAAGATGACCTCCAGCTCTTGCCCACTGCAGCCCCGTTTGGCCTGCTCCTTGGGCTTCAGCCTGCCCTGCAGCCCTTGGGCTGCCCAGGCACTGGCTCGACCCATCCGCCCCTGGCTGGCCGAGCCTCAAGGCTGGGTTTGGTAGCATCTCAAGCTGGGGATGGGGGCGGGAGGGTAAGCAGTGAAGACCTGTGGGGGCCCTAGAGGGTTGGAAAGCCATCTGGGCCCTTTCGGCCCCTCCCCACCAGCTGCCCCCTGCCCCTCTTTCCGCGGAGCGTTCCTCGAGCCGTTCAGCCAGGACCCCCCCCTCAGCCCGCCTCCATTCCGCCCGCCATCTCTCGCCTCAGTCCTATTAAGCCAGCAGGCGCTTTTGACACCGTCCTCCCCCCCCCCCAGCAGCTCCACCTTTGCAGCGGACGGAGGGGGGAGAGGCGTGTTATGGCGAGAAAAGAGCTCGTTACAGAGCGACAGCAACCTTCGCGGCCCACCTCGGAGACCTGGGAGAAATAAAAACAGCGGCCGCACAAATGTGCAATTAGGTTTCCAAATCCCTTCAGCTAGGCGAAGGAGGCCGGCCCTGCCGAGCGCGGCCCTGCCAGGCAATTTCCGAGCCCATCGAGTCTCGCTCCGGAGGCCTTGCAAAAATAACGCAGGATTTTCCCTGCCCCTCGCTCGCCTGCGCCCCTCTCGCGGCTGGGGGGGGGGCAGGGAGAGGGGAGGAGAAGCCCGCAGACGCCGCTCACTTGGCCGGCGGTGGGAGCTCGGCTGCCCGGGGGGGGGGAGCGGGCAGAGCAGCCGCTGTCGGTCGTGCCCGGGGGGGGGGCAGGGGGAGCCGGCACCCCGGAGTCCGGGCTGGGGCGTTGCTGCTGCTGCTGCTTCGCCAGCGGGAGGCGCGGGGCGCGGAGGAGCCCCCGGCCTCTGGTCCCGTCTTCCAACTCGCTGAATTAGCAGCAGACCCGAAAGCAGCAGGAGCTCTTTTTCTGTTGTTGATGTTTTGCACAAACACGTTTGCGGCTTGGAAAACAACTTCTGCTGCCCGAGCCAGGCCCGCGTGTGGCGGCGGCTGCAAGCTGCGCCCGGGACCGTTTTGCTTGCTCCGCAGCTGCTGGGGGTGGGGGGCGATGCGCCCAGCACTGAAATAGAGGTCACGGCGGGGATGGGGGGGGAGCGTAAAAAGGGGTCGCTGACGCGGTGTGTCCTGGCCGGGGCCTTCCAAGTGGGGCAGGGGGCCTCAAAGTGAACGCCTAAAAATAAACCCACCCTTTGCGGAAGGGAGATGGCGACCCCCATGCAAGTGACCGCAGGAGGGCTGCAAGCTCCCTGAGCTGCCGGGCTTCCGAGGCACAAAGCGCCCCACAGCGGCCCTCGCTTCCTTCCGGAAGCCCTCGCACAGGTCAGGCTGTGGCCCCTTGGGGCCCAGGGCCGCCTGGGGATGGGGCCCCAGCGCTGGGCAGGGGCTGGGAGGAGGCAGAACTGCCGTTCTTGGGAAAGGAGTGCTCTGCAAGCTGGGCGGTTCCTCCTGCACCCACAGCAGCTCCAGCCCCCACTGGTGGCCCCGATCCTGGGCTGCTCTGGAGCCAGCAGGAGCCCCTCCCTGGCACTTCCTGGGGGAATGTGGGCCCCAGTCACCTGCAAGCAGCACAGAAGCCCCCAGCCCCTTTGCAGAGGCCTTGCTAAGGGGTGTGTGTGTGTCGCAGTCTGCCCCAGCTGTGTGTGCCAGAGGCTAGCTTTGGCCAGGGGGGGAAGGCCCCACTTGGTGGGGTCACCTGCTGTCCAGTCTTCTCCCCTGCCCTTCCGGGTCTGCCTCCCCCTTCTCAGAAGCCAGATT